ATTTTTCTCGGATGACTGATCAGATGGAAACCAGTGCAAACTCAGATTGTCAGTTTCAAGTCCTGCTTTGTACTTAACCGAACGACAGCTTCCAGCCACGCAGTAGTTCACCATCTCAGTATTTGTTGATTGGATCGAACGCAAATGCAAACAAAATGAGCAAGTATTTACAAAACCCAACATCTCTATATACACACACATAATAAGCCCTCAGCGAATCGGCAAATGAACCAGCAAATGAAAGCCTTCGTTACACTTGAGTGCACACCCACCCGCTCTGACTGGGTTCGGTCTCCCGGGTGCTTCGTTTCGAGGGAAGTAAACCCAAGTACCAAATATTGCACTTTTGATTCGCCATTGTACGCTTATAATTTTGCTTAAATGTTTTTTCATAATCAGCAGTGTATATTATATGTCATGAATAAGTGATAATTGTGTTTTGATTATGTTTGGTTTTTTGGTTGCATGTGACCTTTAAGGAGGATGCCAGAAGTCCTTAGTACCCCAGAGTTGTCTTTTGGTTCGGTTGTAAGGGAGGGAGGTTGAGTAGCACTCTGGTCATAGTTTGATACAGATGTTAATGAAGCCTATAGTTTGGCATGAAATGCATGTGGACCCGGTTTTTGGTAAATATCTCTTCATCTAATGACCCAATCGATCTCAAACTGTGCAGGTGGATGTTTTGTGGATGAGCCAATGACCTGTAACAGCAGCAGTGTTGGGTCATAAGGGTCAACGTTCGTAAATGTAGGTCAGCTATGCACGTGACAGGTATGAAGAGGTGTTCATTTCTAGCAAATAGCTGGCGAATGACATCTCTGATGACCCTGATTTCAAAAGAATCTAACTTTGGATGCCTACCTTTTTGTACAAGGTTTTGTTTATTGGTTGTTGGTTTATTTTTCACAATTTTTAGCACGATGTTCTTTTTAATGCCAAGAGCAAAAGTTGTACGTTTCATGTGATCCGACACCTTATAAATCGGTTTGCTATGTTTGCTCTCTTTTTAAACAAAATTCAACACATTTCTAATTAAACGTTTAGCATCATCTGAATAAGCTTTCATGATGACAGCTAGAAGTAGTCAATGTGAATGATCCAAATCACTGTGCACTGCACAGGTAACTATCATGAACTGCACGTGCATTGACCTTTATGACCCACCACTGCCGCTGTTACAGGTCATTGGCTCCCTCCCTCTGCAAGCATTCTGCGTTTTGCTGTTGATTTTGTTGACAGTTACATAGACAGATTCTTTAATACAAATGCATAAAATCGGTGATTTACAATGTGATTAGGTTGTCTGACAAAACATCCACTTGCACAGTTTGAGATCGATTGGGTCATTGGATGAAGAGATATTTTAAAAAAACCGGGTCCACATTGCATTTCATGCCAAACTATAGCTGACAGATACATATATTTGAGAAATCATATATCATTATGTTATGTTTTATGCCAGCAATATTCAGTACTACCACTAATGCATAGACAAATGATGAAGCCTCCATCTGTTTATACAAGCTGTTATTATAATTGTGTCAGTAAGCACTGTTTGTTCTCCTGCAGCCAACTGAACCATCCCAATTTGGTGCAGCTGTATGGCGTCGTGACCAAGGCCAAACCTATCATGATTGTGGTGGAGCTGATGCGTTATGGTGGGTATCTGTGTTTACCTGGGCATTGGTATGTATATTGTTGAAGGCTGGCCTAAGTCATCTGTCTGTCTGTTCTGTTCCATAAGTCATCTGTCCCCAGTCTGTTCTCTTCCCTAAGTCTTTTGTCCCCTGTCTATTTTGTTCTTACACTATACTCATCCCTGACTGTTTTGTTTATCAAAGAGTACTTTACACCACCTGTTTACTGAGGTACACTGTCTGCAGGTGCACTGAACAACTACCTGGCCCGTCACAAGAACCGCCTGCTGCAGCAGCCCATGACCCTGCTGGAGTTTTGTATACAGGTGTGTAAGGGCATGTGCTACCTGGAACAACGCAAGTTCATCCATCGAGATCTCGCCGCCAGGAACTGCCTCGTCGGACAGGACCATGTAGTCAAAGTAGCCGATTTTGGTTTAGCCAGGTGAGCAGGTTAAAGAGGTTGTAGGTTTCTAAATGCTATCAAGGGTATTTAACGACTGATAGTATTTCCATCAAGTTCAAAATGGTGGGCCACATGTGGCATTGTCACTTATTTTGGTTGTAGATCAATTTTCGACCAATTCCTTGGTGTAGTGGTTAGAGCGTCCGCCCGGTGAGCTGAAGGTCGTGGGTTTGATCCCCAGCCCGCGTCATAACAAAAGACGTTAAAATATGGTACTTGTTGGTCCCAGCCTGGCGCTCGGCATTAATGGGTACAACAAAGACTGGTCGGCTCGGAATCAATATGAAGTGTCTGAGTGGGGTATTCATGCATCATTGCGGCATGGTATCTCAGTGAGCTAGCACTATAAAACCAGGTTAAGTCTGGGCTAGTACAAGCAGCCACACATACACACACAGTATTCTTATGACGTTAAACCCCATTTCACCTCACCTATATCAATCTCCATTCAAGAAGAATAAAACCGAAACTTGACGAAAGAACCAGTTATATTGGGGATTGGGTGGTCACACTGTATGGCCTGGCTGGTGGATGGTGTGTCATGTACAAGCTGATCAACAGGTGTGAAATTAATGATGACCCTCTGTTGTCAGATACATCATTGATGATGACCCTCTGTTGTCAGATACGTCATTGATGATGACCCTCTGTTGTCGAATGATGACCCTCTGTTGTCAGATATGTCATTGATGATGACCCTCTGTTGTCAGATATGTCATTGATGATGACCCTCTGTTGTCAGATATGTCATTGATGATGACCCTCTGTTGTCAGATATGTCATTGATGATGACCCTCTGTTGTCAGATATGTCATTGATGATGACCCTCTGTTGTCAGATATGTCATTGATGATGACCCTCTGTTGTCAGATATGTCATTGATGATGACCCTCTGTTGTCAGATATGTCATTGATGATGACCCTCTGTTGTCAGATATGTCATTGATGATGACTTTCTGTTGTCAGATATGTCATTTATGATGACTTTCTGTTGTCAGATATGTCATTGATGATGACCCTCTGTTGTCAGATATGTCATTGACCCTCTGATGTCACCCTTGTTGTCATGATACGCCATCCCTCTGTTGTCAGATATGTCATTGATGATGACTTTCTGTTGTCAGATATGTCATTGATGATGACCCTCTGTTGTCAGATATGTCATTTATGATGACTTTCTGTTGTCAGATATGTCATTGATGATGACCCTCTGTTGTCAGATACGTCATTGACGATGAGTACACCAGTTCAGCAGGGACCAAGTTTCCAGTTAAGTGGGCTCCCCCAGAAGTCCTGAGCTACACCCGCTTCAGCAGCAAGTCCGATGTCTGGGCTTTCGGTATGTTGTGGAGCTCTTTCTTGCTGTATGTTTAGTGATGACACAGGCTGAAATAGTTCACTCATGTATTATTGAACCTTGATATTTATCTTAGTGATATGATTTGGCTGAATTAAATATGTGTGATATTACAGAAGTGATGTGACATGCACTAGGCTGAATCAATACTGTATGTGGCATTTTACAGATGTATTTGAAACATGTGATATGTGCTAGGCTGAATCAGTATGTGTCATTTTAAAGATGTATTTGAATTGATGTGTTAGACTGAATCATATATGTGGCATTTTAGAGATGTATTCGAAGTGATGTGATATGTGTTAAGGTGATTCAATATGTGTTACTTCACAGATGTACCTGAATTGTCTGTTCATACTGTGTTCCAGGTGTGTTGATGTGGGAGGTGTTTAGTGGTGGTGAGATGCCGTACAGCGGCATGAAGAATCTTGACGTGGTGGACTACGTCATCACCTCCAACCGCCGCCTACAGAAACCTATGATGTGCCCAGAACTCATGTTCAAGGTCATGATGCACTGCTGGGACGTGGTATGTCTGTTATAGATGGTTGGTTGGTTGGTTGCTGTTTAACGCCACACTCAGCAGTTTTCCAGCTATATGGCGGCGGTCTGTAAATAATCGAGTCTGGATAAGATTAAATCATGAGCATCGATCTATGCAATTGGGATACGATGACATATGTCAACCAAGTCAGCAAGCCTGACCACCTGATCCCATTAGTCGGCTCGTACGACAAGCATGGGTTACTGAAGATAAATTCTAACCCAGATCTTCTCGGGTATCATTATAGATAGTAGTGATTATAACTATACTATACAATGTTGGGTGCACAGATTACCAGTCACCTGAGGCCCATCTCTTAGAGCTGCCAGAATTATGTTATCATGAGATCAAATCCCAGTTTACCATGATTACATTTTATTTTGTTTGAGTTTGTTATTTAATGCCACACTCAGCAATATTCCAGGTATATGGCAGCAGTCTGTAAATAATCGAGTCTGGGCCAGACAATCCAGTTATAAACAGCATGAGCATCGATGGGAATACAATAGCATGTGTTGCTGAAGACCAATACTAACTCAGATCTTCAAGGGAGATTACTTTCAAACTTTTAGCTTGATAAATCAAAAAATGTTTTCTGAAGACATAATAAAAATAATTTCCTTTTCAGAAACCTGAACGTCGACCAGGTTTTACTGAGTTACATCGACGACTGAGTGGCCTAGCTGACGGTGGGGACTACCCCCTGGTGTAATGTCCCAACATCTGGCAACAATAGTGTTACTGCTGACTCTAGACAAGCCCACAACGTAACTCAGCCATTAACTGAACTAGTTTAAGGAGGCAATGTCTGAACAGCCAGCGTGTTGATGTTCAGCTTTGACATCCCTGGAGATAAAATTCAGTATGGAGATGACAATGAGCATGTAGAAATTTGAATTTCATAAGCATGTATAGTGCTTGTTCACAAGCCAAGCTTAGTCAGTAAGCAAAACCACACAAGTATTATGCAGCTTAACTATTGTCTGCTCATTGGTATTTAGCTGTTGTCATGGTTATGGTTACTAGGCAACGAACTTATAAGCTTTTCCCTGGATATGGTATCTTTTGCTCAGGTGTTAAGCCTTACATAAAGGTTCAATGTTCAATATTTTCATTGAATATGTATTTATATATACGATATGCAATATTGGTAATTTGTAGTTATTTTCTGCATGGCCAATTCAAGTTTTATTTAAAGAACAATCTTTATAGGTTGGTTTGGCTTTTTTATCAATATTAACAAATCTGTCTTAGATGAAGCATACTTTAGTGGACATATAGCATATAGATTGGACCATGTTAAATATATGGTGAAAAGGTTCTTGACCATATATTTTGAGGCAGAAGGATTATATTTTTTATAAATTTACTATATCATTCCAAATCAAGTGGCATGACTAGTATGTTCATGCCCATGGTAATACAAGGTCATACATGTTCATGCCCATGGTAATACAGTGAACTGTGGTGTCCTCTTGTTAATTGAAATAGATGCAGAATGGCTAGTTGTGTTTAAAATTCAAAGAATGATCTATTTTGTTTAAGTTTTAAAATTATTGACAAATTATCTTTCGCCTACTGAAATTTCCAAGCCTATTTTTAATGTAGTTATTTAAATACACAAAGACTAGCAGCGCTGTTCTGACCATAAAATGGAGTTCTGGATGATTCCCGCGAGGATTTCCATAGTTACGGGGTCATGGTGTCCCTATACAATAACACAGATGACAACTTGTCATAATTTAGGTAAAATAGCACTAAACCTGCAGGGAAATGTAATTTTACGTAAGAAATTGATATTATTTTTCCAAATGTTCTCAGTTTATTAAACTTCAGAGCTTCCTGTTGATGTTGTGTTGTCGGAGCTTCAATGCTATTCCATGCAATACATACCATGTTTTGATGTGATAAATGAGCTTTTGGTTTTTGTGGATGTGAGTCCAAATAAGGTCATCCAGTCAACCTTGACTCCAAGTTTTACAAAGTTAAAATGTTCAGCCTTAATATTTAAAACCCAGACATAGTATATATACACCCTACTTTATTCACTGGCACCTCCAGAACGTTATATTTGTCAAAGTGAGTTAATTGTCAGTTTAAATTCAAATTAATTGTGTTTGTCTCAGTGTAGGATTTAAAAAGTGAAATACTGGATTGCTATCCATTATATTGTTGAGTTCTGTACTTGCATTGCTTTTAGTGCTATGTTCTTATTTATGAGGACATTGTGTATTTCACTTGCCTTTTGAGTTTTTGTTCACAACAACGAAAAAACACAGCATGTGCCCTTCAGTCCTCACTGTGGTGCTTTTTTACCAGTAATTTTGTACAGAGAGATGTGGAAGGGGTAATGGATGCTTTAGGACACACCCCAGACCTGACGAGTATCTGTTTTAAGTACAGGAGGTCCAAATTGCTAAAACATCCTCTGTATGTCTGAAAACAAATTACATATGTCTCGCATTGTAAGAAATAAAAATAATGTGCCCTTTTCTTGCAAACAGTGAGTCCAAAGAATTATGTTTGTTACTTTTTTTAATTAAAATAATGAAACATTCAACATCATAACCTGTTCATGTTGGAGAAAATAATTGAGTTCCAAGACATTAAATAATAGTGCTGATCTCAAACAAAAGTCTTAGCTACCGGTACTTCCCAATCCCCCATGAGAATCCAGTGGTTTCTCCCTAATGAAGACGTTTGCTTTTATGAAACCTTGACATAGTTAACTCTATAAGTTGGTGAGTCAGTCCAAAAATATACAACTTTATAGTTTATTACGTACATAGTGATGTTTTGATTTGGACATGGATATCACAACCATGTGATGAAAGTAGGTAACAGCTAGAATTTGTTTCATCATAAATGATTGGTAATAATCCTCAAAACTATGCTTTACCAATAACAAATATGCCTGCAGAAATTTAAATCAGAGGACCTATTTTTATGATTTCAAATGGAAATTCTGCACATTTGGCAAGAAGTTGTGTGTTTTTAAAATATTATATTACATGTAATGTTATTGAATGGTGGGAAGTCTGATCTAAACATTTTTAATTGCTAACATTTGTATTTGCACTGTATACACAGAAATGTAACTTATTCATCATTCATTGTCATCTGATGACTGTCTTATAAGTTTCACCCATAGAGGATAACCTACATTTAGTACCCATTGGTTTTCTTCCACATGAGGTTGTCCACATGAGTGTCCAGTGTTTGTGTGGTTATCACCTACCGGGGATATAACTCTTTATAACACCCATATTTAACACACACTGAAGGTATACCTTTCCACAACACTCAGTCTCGTCACCTATTAAAAGTGTACTTCCTTATATAACTCATGTTCCTCGCTGCTGGGTTATACCTATAAATAACACCTATGATCATCACTCACCAGTGGTATAGTTTTTGATAACACCCAATGTTATCATACACCTTAGGCATGGGTCCTTTAAAAGGCAAGTGTTATGACACACCTGAGGATATCTCTCAAAAGTGCTGATGTTTATCACACAGATGAGTAATATCTTCTCTTCATACTATGTTATCACCCATGTGAGTATACCTGTGTACAATACCTGTAATTATTACTCACAACACATCTCCACATAATAGATGTTATGTTATCACCACCTGAGGTATACACTGTACCTATATATATTGCCCAGGATTATAACCATGTTATCCATAGCTTGAGGAATACCTTCACACACAGCTGTGTTATTACCATCTGAGGTGTACATTTCACCTCTATATAGCGCCCAGGGTTATCACCACATGTTGTATACCTCTGTGTTGAGCCCAGTGCATGTTATCCACAACTTGAGGAATAGCTTCTCATAGAGCTATGTTATCACCATCTGAGGTGACCATTTTACCTCAGTATAGTGCCCATGGTTATCACCCACCTGAAGAATACCTCCACACAAGCTAGGTTATCACCACCTGAGGTATATCTCTATATAGTGCTCTGTGCATGTTACCACCTGCCTGAGGAATACCTCCACACAAGCTAGGTTATCACCACCTGAGGTATACCTCTATATAGTGCTCTGTGCATGTTATCACCCACCTGAGGAATACCTCCACACAAGCTAGGTTGTCACAGCCACAGGTATGCTTCTAGTGCTAAGTGCATGTTATCAGCCACCTGAAGAATACCTTCTCATAGAGCTAGGTTATCACAACCGAAGGTATGCCTCTAGTGCTAAGTGCATGTTATCACCCATCTGAGGAATTCCTTATCATAGAGCTAGGTTATCACAGCCAAATGTATGCCTCTAGCATGTTATCTCCCACCTTAAGAATACCTCCACATTGTGCCAAGATGTAAAGCATATGTATATCTGCCTTTGCTATGAAATATGCTATGATGCAGTAGAATAGATATTGCAGCACCTGCGTGTTAATAACATATTTGTCTGCTGATGGATGTACTGATGGTCATTAATTAAGCAACAGCCTACTCATATCCACACTTTCTCCCCATGTGGCCCCGATGCTGAATCTAAGTGCATCCTGTATTATGCCACCATGCTGTAGGCAAATATATATTTCATGGAGGATTGATTTTCAAAGGTTGTTGCTTAATATTTGCTCAGTATTGTGCTTCTCTGTTGCAGTAAACCTAACTTATTTTGTTTATAAGCAGAGGGTATAAAGTATGATAAAACCAGTTCTCAACAATAACGGGGGAAAAAATAGAGTAAAAATACATAGCCTTTTCTAACCACTATTAAAAAATGTTCCAGATTTTCTGGGCTATTACAGGCACAAAACCACTCAAAGAACAGTCAAGATAACTCATAATGCAAGATTTGGGGAAAATGTTTTGGTGCCTATTGATATTATAGTATTACTTTTTCAAATGGGTCAGTCTTGGAGAATCCAGGATATACATTTTCAGACATATTATTTTTAATAATACATTGTATATAGTTTTGTCTTAAGTTGCCTTAGAAACAATAATTGTACAGATAATATATGTAGTGAGATAAGCCTTTTTTTGTTTTGGCTGCGACACATATCTAGTGAAGTATTAAAACAAGGCGTATTAACGACTACAACATGAGTGTAAGGTATGGAAGGATGAAACATCATCAGTTGTATCAAACCTGCTCCTCCAATCAAAACTATCCGATGTCAGGTGACTGGTCATGTGGCTTAAATGTTATAGCATGGAGATGATTCCAGACTGGGGACAATTACTAAAACATGATCCTCACCGCATTCCTCAGCATTATTTTGCTACAAAATCAAATTCCGACAATGGAGAACATTTTAGCCATAATATCAGTGTATTCGTGTATGATTTAATACCATTTCCAAATGATAAAGCATGATTTTTCTATTTTGTGAATAAATATTTTCAGTGTTTGCTATCATCTTTTGTCTTCTTTTTCTAAAGACCATCAGTTTTGAGGAAGTGAATGGTCTTTATGTCAATATCAGCAATATTACAACTATAACACAGTAGGACTTGGTGCGGTTTTGACTGTTGTTTTTAGAGCTGTTTAATACTACTTTGGGTGGCATCGGTCTGCAACTAATCGAGTCTGAACCAGACAAACCATTGGTCGATATTATAGGCAACATCCCGACACACTATTAACCTGAACATGTCTCTTGTAACTTGATCTTCCTTATTATTCTGAGGACGAAAATTTTAATGTCAGAATCCCTAGCTGAAATTCAACAATGACAACGAACATCATGACAAATCTAGTAAAAATATCTTTAATTGTAGAAATGTCCATACATTTCAACACACATCAATCAAATCGCTTTACATCCTGCACATGAGATAAGTCCCCACACTCTTCCTCATCCATGAAACTAAGGAATTCACACACTGAAACAACACATACATAAAGAATTGAACAACTCACATCATACTCTGGGTTCTCTACAAACCCTAAAACAGCACTTCGTATGAATTAGGGTGTTTGCTTCTGTGAATTTGTGAATACACAATGTCAATTGTCAGGTATCACTTGTAACCACTTTCAATATACATAAATTTTCTCGTTTCTAACTGAGAAACATACTCAGTTTTTGTTTTCTCAAAAGTACATCCATATGCAGTCAACATATTAAAACAACCATGACACTAAAAGACATGCATACAGGTTGACAATATGATTCAGTTGTGTGTTTCTCTCCAGTAAAGGAGTGAGTGAGTATGGTTTCATGCCACTTTTAGCAATATTCCAGCAATATAGGACACCAGAAAAGGGCTTCACACATTGTACCCATGTGAAGAATCGATCCCGGGTTTTCGACATGACGTGTGATTGCTTTAACCATTAACCACAAGGCTACCCCACCACCCCTTCTAGTTAAGGAAGGTAGAAACAGAATTTGTCCACATATGTCAAACCATGCCATTAAAACACTGGTAATTTGAGACATGAGAAAAGGGTAATACTTTCAGCAGACACTCTTACGACATGCAAATTTTGATATTAGTCCATCAAGTTTTAAAAGCCATAGCGAGGAACTAAATACTTTCTATTAAAATAAGGGAGCATTTCAAAACATTGGTGTTGATACAAACTTATTTCCTTCAATTTGGAGAGGGAGAAGTGAAGAAGATATGCCACAACATTATGAAACATGTATTTCTCTTTCAAAATGTCAACACTTTTACAAAAAAGTCAAGTTCTTTTGGGTTTGAAATGTCTGAAGGTAACTTGCTTACAGAATTGAGGATTCTATCCAGTATTTTTAACTGCTCCTTCAGAAAATAACACCTTTCCATTTTCTTTAAACACCTTCCAACATGAAAAATAAATTTCTCTTTTAAAAAAATATGAAGGGAAAGAATTATGCTGCACATACTACTTTTCATGCAAGATATTCATTGCATCAGCATGGATAAAATTATCTCTAACATAGCACAGCAGGTACAAGCTTATAATATAGAAGCAGAGAGGTTCTTTTGTCCTGGACTAACTTTTTAAAGCATAAAAATCTATATAACATAGGAAAGGCTACTTTATTCTGGTTGTCATCTCCAAATAATATCGGTTAGATTAGGTAGACAGAACAAACATTCTGAAATTGTTTTCTTTATCTTCTAGAATTACGTTCCTTTCAATATAGATCTACTTTGAGGGGTCAATGCTGAAATTTGATGAGCAAACATGAAAACAAAATTATTCATTCAATTTTGATTGTGTGTTATATGTACAAAATTTAGTTGGTTTGTTGTTTAACGCCACACTCAGCAATATTCAAGCTACTAGTATATGGTGGCGGTCTGTAAATAATCGAGTCTGAACCAGACAATCCAGTGATCAACAGCATTAGCATCGATCTACACAATTGTGACATACAAAATTTGGGGTAAACAACCCAACTATTAAAAAATTCAAAGTAAATCAACACAACATGATCACACACTACCCTTAAGGCATTTAAGAGAGATGTATAGACATATTAACCATTATACCAGTAAGAGATCTGTGTGCTACTTTCTTCCATAGTTCCATACAAGTGAAGGCAAATGTTTACTTTGTACAGCTGACAAGAGCACAATACACTCCCATGATCTACAGCCTTGTTGGCATGGATTGACCGAACCACATGAGCTGGATTTATCAGGATTTATTGGTATTTGTGATTTCTTTCATCACTACTTCATAGGTTTGGTATATCCAAAGTATTTCCATCACTGCTTCACTGGCTTTGTATGCACAATGCTCATCAAACAGTACTGAAACATGTTACATTGATGATGTATGCATGTAAACAGATTTTATAAAGAAGATTTAGTCTGTATTAGTCATGTTATATTTGGCTTCTAATATATATACTTTAAAATATAATATGGCAGTGAGTGAACAAGTATAGTCCTGCTTCACCCTTGGTAGTATTTCAAACGACAGGGAACGCCGATATTTTTGGGACAAGATCCCACTTTTAAACATGACATACAAATGTTTAAAGCACCAGGCTACCCAACTTCCCATTGAAGATTAGTAACATTAGCAACTGTCCTCATCATAAACATGGCTGTATCCTCTTCTTCAAGTCATATTTTACATGATTCGAACAGAATCAGACATCTTGTTTTGCTTCCTCCTTGGGAATGATTGAAACCTTGCAAAACTTTGATGTTCTGACAGCGTTCTTGACAATAGCAATCTCATTCACACTATCAGATATCTTCCTCAGGAGCTGACTCTGCAGGCGATTCACCTCAGCCTGAAGCATCAAACACACGAATATAACATCTGTCAATGTGCACATTTCTTACTTCACCATGGAACTTTCAAATGTTACACTATGACAATGATAATCTCAAGCACAATTGCAAATAAAATCAATCACCATATCATAATCAAATGATCAAATTTGTTTAAATAATCAATTTCAAAAGTTATATCTGGACACGTCAGAATGGTACTTTTAATTCAATTAAAACTGTAATCTGTCTTCAGTTATTCAGTGGACAATATATCCTTTCTATTATGGCCCCTTTTTCACTCAGAATGTCACTCTCTTTGAAATTGATAATCAAACAAGTTAACTTTTCTCAACAACAGTTACAGATACCTTGTACAAGGGAGTTCACAATATAACTAATAAACCCATGACAAAATATAAAAAGACCTCTCATAAACAATAGAGTGAGTGAGTGAGTTTAGTTTTACGCCGCACTCAGCAATATTCCAGCTATATGGCGGCGGTCTGTAAATAATCGAGTCTGGACCAGACAATCCAGTGATCAACAGCATGAGCATCGATCTGCGCAATTGGGAACCGATGACATTTGTCAATCAAGTCAGCGAAACTGACCACCCGATCCCGTTAGTCGCCTCTTACGACAAGATAGTCGCCTTGTTATGGCAAGCACATGGGTTGCTGAAGACCTATTCTACCCCGGATCTTCACGGGTCCATAAACAATAGAGCAACTCTCAAAAGATGTTTCATGAGCAGTGGGACTGTGATATGAAGTCCTATGCTACAAGATGTTGTCAGTTGTATGTTAGACTGCATGTAACAGTGCAAGTCAAGAATCAGTGAAATCATGAATTTCAATGCCTGTCAATCATGAATGCTGTTTCTAGCACTGTCTTAACTTGCTTTGGACTCAAAGCAAAGTTATCACAGCAAATGATTTCAGGGTAATTATCATAACAGAATGTATATATAATATGCTGAAAAATAGAAAATAATGTAAACAGAAAGATTAAGTTTCTCAAAACTGACAATCACCTCTTCCATTCTACCCTTCTCTTTCAGAGTGATCTTCACATGCCTGCCTTTCTGCAACGTCTCCTGCACATGTTTCAGTTTGATACCCAGGTCGTGATCAGTTATCTTTACTGTTATAACAAACTCCTTTTCATCTGTCCGGCCTGATTTTACAGACTTGGTTTTCATGGATTCTTTATGCAGCTCCTTCCCTGTCATCAGTTTAAAACATTGGACTTTGTCCTGATTGGGTCCCATGTCTACAAGCTTCAGACTCTCTTTGTTTGCCATCTCCTCGGCTTGCGATATTGACATCTTACCAATAAGCATCCCTGTCATGTCAAACACCATGACCTCACTGTCTGCTTTGAGGTCAGCTTGAGGTACAGATACCTTCTTGGCCTGACAGCAACAAGTCCCAGACAGCTGTCGTGTTAGCTTTACCAAGCATGTCAACTGATAGGATAATCTCTGTTCTAAGAGATGTTTAGCACCATCTGGTCCGGTGGGACAGTGGGATATGCTTCTGGCCATTGTGAGTCTGGGATCAGGTCCCAGTTTGTGGTAGTAGAGTTTTCTCTGAGCATATCTGCACAATGTCACAGCAAGCCTGCAGTTAGAAAGAAAATAACAAATATCATGTTAATAGTGGGGTACTACAGTCGAGCACCATTGTCTCAATATTCATGGGACCAAGAAAAAAAATATCGAGTTATCCGAACTTCGAGACATCCGAGCAGTGCATATCGTCACATATCACTATGAAAGAAAAACAAAACGCTTCTCAGTATGTTTTGATTCGAAACTATAATCCGTTATCAGTCGTGTTTAGTCGTAACAGTGAGTACTTCCTAATTATTTCCTTCTTAATTAATCCTAATTACATAACAAACAAGTGACACCTTCAACTCAATTAGCCCTAATTAGTTTACACTACCGCATCCCTTTGATTCATGCCACACCGTGTGTAAACGTGTGGAAACAACCTCAGTTCAGAGGGACACTTGCGCATGACAGGTTGGTGAATATCGAGCAAGTATCGAGTTAAAAAGATAAATTTGCTTGTTGGGACCATGAAATTATATTGAGATATCTGAAATATATTGAGACAACCGTATCGAGTTAAAAGAGCTTGACTAATGATAAATAATGAAGGATTTTGCCGGAACCGAAATTTTATATCGAGACAACCGACACAACGGTGCTTGACTGTAATTTGAATTAAAGGGCAACAATACTCCAACTCTCAGTCATCACACTTGTGCCACTTAGCAGCATTATCAAATACATGGAAATGAGACTCACTTACCCCACAAACTGACAAGAACAGTGCTAAATGCAAATCAAATCAGTTGCAGTTATAGTCTACCGGTATAACTTTGATTCCAGGAAGGAAAAGCCATCCACGTTTCAAAACTTTCAGTTTCAACATTGTAGCATTGTTTTCCATGTTTCAGAGTGTAATCATAGTTAAGCAGGTTCAAGGTCATGATTCATATCTAGAAACCATTGTGCTCATGAATTTGATCACTGAACAACACCAAATTATTTATAGACCTAATTTAGACAAAAAGTGAATTTAGTTTTATGCCGCACACAGCATTAATTCAGCTATATGTCGGCTTTAGACAAAAATAACAGAATATATTTCATGTATGCAAATGGGCTTCAAAGTATAGTTCTGTCTCCTATTCTCGCGTTTTCTGCCGATGCGAGACATCAAGCAGTTGTTAACCTTGCCGACCGGTAACTAGGAAGTGGCCAAAGTCTGTGAGTGATCAAAATCTTGCAATATCACAAAGTTTACAACCACTCGGACTTTTTCCTGCCCTTTCCTGCAGGATTGCTCTTCCATACACGCCATAACGTTACTTCCTCGCTATACCACGAGAATGGGAGAAGCCTCACGTTGTCATTGGCGGATGGCATTGTTTATCACCAGGCTCACAAGGGGTAATTCACCCGATGGATCTAGCTGCTGATAGTATGCAGATGTTAGAGGAGAAGGCCCTTCATTTAAAATTACAAGCATTCATACGATAAGAATTGTTTGTGTTATTTTTCAGCCGATATCCGTAAGTACCACGAGAATAGGAAACGCCTTCATACCGTAAGTTTACATTGTCTGTTTAGACACGTGTATTAATATTGTGTGAGGTGAGGGGAGGTGAAATTGGGTTTAACGTCGTGCTTGAGAATTAATATTGTGTGATGGAATATAACCATTATATAGTGAAATAAGAAAATCATCGAAGTAATATTGCTTGCATTTGCATATTGCACTTTAGGCCTACCTTTAGAATACAGCACCACAAACTTTAAAAATACGTCATAATACCCTTTTACGTAATGTAATGTGATTTTGTTCGAAAGCACGTTCTCGAAACAATGCCCTATGACGCCTGCATGGCAACATGGTTGTCTGGCTCAGCGAGTGCGTTTAAGCTCCGCTCACTTGTGTTTCATCTCTACGAGCTATGTCATTGCATAAGCCCTACGATGTTGAGAGTTTCCAGTAGTTGCGGATGCGCAATATTTTGCAAGCACCAGTTTGAAATATTTTTCTTTTTTCACTAATACGCTCTTATTTGTTTGTATTACGGGCTGCTGAGGTGTTATGTTTTGTGTACTTTGTATTTTGTAATTTTTAAATTTACATATATATTTTTGTCATTCAGTAATTTGCACCATTACATAGAAAAGTGTTTTATTAGCATTTTATTTTTCGAAGCGGTAATAATACATTACACTAGACACGTCAGTCGTGTTTGTGCCGGTTCGGTCAATGCATTCTATTTATTAGGATTAATTCAAGGGATTAGGGTTAGGGTTAGGGTTGGGGACCTAATGCAATATAGTAGGTACATGTCCGGTGGTTCGGTCAATGCATTCTATTTATTAGGATTATTTCAAAGGGTTAGGGTTAGGGTTAGGGACCTAAGCCAATATAGTAGGTACATGTCCGGTGTAATACGTGAGTACCATTTGTTGTTTTTCTTTTTGCATTTTAATACTTTTTTTCACACAAAAACGAGAAACCAAAAACGTCGAAAGTACATTTGGAAATAGGTAAATGTAGAAATTTGGGGCTAATGGAAATTGGCCTGGAATTTGCACTCACGCCTCTTTCACACGCAACATAAATTCCAAATTTTGTAAAGTAATGATTCGAAGGCTAACTCACCCTCGTGCCGTCACTACACATGCTCATGTCTCCCTCGTTCCTTAGTGCGATCAACATTATCCTTACAGTGTTCCTACATCACTTTTCTGTCACAAAATCACCGATTTATATAAAAGCGCGTCATTCATGCATGCACCGGGAAATCTACGTCTGACGCCTGACGTCAACAACCCTTTTCAGTTTGAGGCATATCGGCTCATTCCACGCCACACGTTAATTTGTAGATTACGGAATGGGACGAGTGTGCCAAATGGCATCAGATCCATTTGGCAATTGTCCGTAGAATAAAATCACGAGACACCAAGTCTACCCGTAGCATTCCTAATTGTCCGTGACCTATTCGACTCTTTCCGTTCATTTCCGTGACGTCACAGGAATGACTCGATAAATTTGCACATTGGGCAACAGTGTGGACGTAGCTCAGTTGGTTAGCTGTCGAGCTAACAATCCGAAGGTCGCGGGTTCGCGTCCGACGGGTTCTCACAAACTGGTTGCTTGTCTTAATGACACGTGACCTACGGCAGAGATCGTCCTCACGAGAAGTTGTGGTGCTGTATTCTAAAGGTGCTCCGCACTTTATTGCAGAGTGGTTACTGGTGGAACTCTTAGCAAACACATCTTCAACTGAATTGAGTAAGAGTTCTGCCCGTATCCACTTCCCCAACCCCCACCTTGAAATGTCAAAATATAAATTGAGTTGAAGTGAAAATGGTTTAGGGTTATAAATAAGCGCACCCACCTTTTTATAAAAACCGTCTATTCTTAGGCATTGATGATAGAATGATAAATAACGGGGTGAATTGTTCTTTTTTACAAAGTGGGTGATGGTCGAGGAGACGGCAGCAAAGTTATGCTTCAATAACATGCAAAAACACAAGCATAAACCTTTCAAAAGTCAATGACGACCATGACAGGATATGAAACTGACGAGACGAAAGAGGTGTTGCAGAGATGCGAATGTCACGAAACCCTGCGTCCATATTAAACATATATTTGGCAACGGAACGCGTGGTGGAAATATACAGTTGGACAGTATAAACATTGCACAACTCAAATCCGTTGATTTTCACCCATGACACTTTGGTGGTTAGACACATACGCAAAAACATATTGTTCATGTCAGTTAGAGACATCACAAATACCTGTTCATGGACGCGGCCATTTTGACAATGCCCGTATGAAAGAAACAAGTTCAGGGTAAGTTTCGTAAATCAATTGACATAAATAAAGAGTCAACTTTCAATGGCTTACTATCAAATTTGTTACAAATATACTTTATGTAGATAGGTCATTCGTATAACGACAATATCATTAATAAATCTAAAGAAGGTATTGTTTCCACCAAGATACGGAAGTAAATGTTCCATTAATTTCAAAATGGCCGATGTTGCGGCAGTACCGGCGCCGGGCGCTGCACCGGCCGAAGACGATGAAACATGGCTTTATGGTGGTAAGTTATCTTAAGAAAACTTGTGTCGAGTTTCTATGACACGCCCAGTACATAATAGTCATTCGTTTCTTTGAGTCCGATTTATCACAGGGGCCCATACCCAATACTTTTAAATAGACATGCTGGGTAGCAAAACAAACCTTCGAGTACGACGCATTATCAGAGACAACGTGCTGAATGTGTCGTGTGAGAAACAATTGCTCGTTGTAGGAAATACCTTTTCTGTTAGTTTCTTGATTGCAATCGTACGTAAAAGCACCACCCCGTTATGAGACGGGGGATTGGACAATCCGTGCCCTCAGAAATTCGTGCCCAAACCTTTTTGGCGGACACTACAGTATCCCGGCATCAGTGGTTTTCGACGATGTAAGACAAAAACGTAATTTTTATCTGTAATATCATTTGAAGTTTTAATTTTACTAACCTTGGGTGATAAAGGATATATTCATCTATTTCACACAAAAATATCAAGTGTTTCCTACAAAAATAAGGTGGATGACAACGTATCGGCGAAACTGTTGCCGTTCGCCACATCCGTGGATTTTGTATGGGTTTTTCGACGATAAGCCATACTTTTCGCTCCGCACTGCAAGAGAGTGTTGTGATAACGTGGCTTTCTATTTAAATATTGCCTGTCACGAGCAGACGAATGATCTTACTGAAGTTTCGCTTGCTATTTTTTGTTAGAACGGCGATTGATTTTGCATCTGAAGTGGTACTGGCCATCTCGGGTAAATAATATTGATGTTTGTTTGCTTTTTAAACAACTTAACTTCCGGTTTTCCATTGTCAATAAAACTTCTCACGACAGTGACTGGGCATCCGCCCTGCCGATGAAATTGCTTGTGCTAACCGATTACGCACCTACTCCCCCGATATAACGCCAGCAATGCAATCATCGAAAACACCAGAACGTCGAATTCAGCTCGCTTTTGGACCAAATTGTTGGAAACCCGTACCCACTCGTTTCTCAACCTTCTTGGGAATGGTTGCCCCTTCTCTATCCTTAGTCATTCCTGATCACAAGGGTTTGGTACCCATTTGGATCAAGCACCTCTTCATGATGTTCATGATCATAAGAGCTCGGCACCGCTTGCCAATCAAACACTTTTTTACAATCCTTTTGGTTCTGCATCACTTTATGATTCTTAGGGTTAAGGGGTCCTTTTGTTAGTGTTTTTGCCTCTAGTTGAGTGTTTGCTAGCTAAAGTAACTAGTTTGGCCTAGCTTCAAGCTGGCAATGAGTTTGATTCTCCACTATTATTAAAATGTGAACAAGTGAACCAGGTAAAGTTCACTTTATTAGCAGAATCAATAAGATACAAGAAGTGATCTTTGGAAAAGTTGAATCATTTGGAAACTAAGGAAATATTTACATGCATATATATGGCTAATGGGTACTCTTACATAACATATGGTATGGATTTACAACTACTTTATTATTTACAACACAATGTTTCTAAGCTACTTCATGCCCCTTCATCAGGTGAATGAAATAGAAGTGTATTTTGGAAGGAATACAATTACAGACTTAGTGAGTCTAAATTTCTTCATGTTTTTCACAGATGAAAACAAAGAGCAGAAGGATCCAGAGAAGTAAGTATGCTTTTATTTTGTAGAATGGTGACAGCATGGAAAGAAACCTTTCAAAATTTCCCACTAGACCACAGGACCAGTGAGTAGACAATAATGAGTGGTCCTGTCTTCTTCACTGGTCCCAAATGACATTCGCAGATTTACTTAACTATCAATACAAAATTTACTGGCCACCAGGACCACTGCAAACTTAACATTTAGTGGTCCTGATGAATTTTTACTAGCCAGGGACCACAGGACCAGCGTAAATTTTGCACACTTATAGTTCATAGTTTTCACTAAACAAATGCTAAAGTGATATATACATCTGACATCCTTCCACATATAGATGACTATATGCTGTTCAAACAATAATGTGGAGATAAACCAAACTCACTAAGCCTTAAACTCGTTCACTTTGAATATAGGTTAAGATATATGAAGAGATATCTGTGTATTTGTTGCAGAGATGGCCAGAAAAAGAAAAAGAAAGGTGACGGAGATGGGTCTGAGAAACCAGAAGACAAGGAAGAAGGGGAGATGGTGAGTTGTTATTATGGTTGGTTCACATGATCTTTGTATCTGAAATGGGAGAGTCTTGTGGTCCTTGAGGTTTTAGGCCATAGACCTGGAATTTTATATCTTAGGAACCCTATATCTGTTTGTTTACATTTTATAACTTATGAACACTTTTAGTTCTACCCTTAACTGTGATTTCAGAGTGGGGAGGAAGATGCTCAGGCAAAGAATGATGATGACGATTCAGATGATGACGACAATGTCCAAGTCACCATTGGCGACATCAAACAGTGGACTGTCACAGAGTAAGTTGTTGTTGATTCATACATATATGTCTGGAAGAAATGATAAGTTATTGTATGCTGTAATCAATGTTATTTGTGAAGAAGAAATTAGAATTGGTTGGTTTTGAAAAGAAATATGGCAGTTTTGTGGATGAATATGACAGATGAATGCTAAATACTCTATTTATGATGCAGGATATACAGGTTTTTAGTATCCGCCAATGGAAGAGAAAATTGTTTTACTGATGGTTGTCATGGCAACAGACTACCATGCCAGTGCTAAGCTTAGGTCTTGACGTTAACGCTTTACCTGATTTCTTTGTGCAGTTTAGGGGGTTTTTTTATGTTAAACTCAAGGCAATATTTCGAGTGTCTTGCCTTCTTTTAATTTGAGACTGAAATCAATTTAGTGATAAAGCAAAAATGTTATAAGAGTCACCTTTCTCTTCAAGACTTTTTACAGTTGTATGTACATTGTTAATGTATGATATGTTTGATATGTTGTCAGAACTCCCAGGAACCTGTTTAAGAGTGCCACTGGCTACCAAAAGCCAGCAGCAGGTGAGTAGATATTAGCATCAATTAAATTATCTTTCTTCGTTATCTTTCTGAATGTTTCCTCACACTTGTTTGAGTGGTTCCTTCTATAGTTCTTTGAAAAGATGAACAATTTCTTAGCTTTTAAATTTACAATGTCACATGGATGGCACTCTGATTGCAGGAGTGGCAGCAGCACAGAAGACAGTGGTGCCAGGAAAAGGGATGGACCTTGAAGCCCAGGGCACTGTCAATGGAGTGCCTACATTTGAGTTCGACATTGACAATCTCTCAGCTGAAGACAAACCCTGGAGAAATCCTGGTAAGAATTCCTTTCTTGGAACTCTGATATTGATACACCATGAAGTTAATAATACCAGATATACGAGTCCAAAATGGTATTATTTCATTGGCCACAGTTGTGTAAAATTCTGTTTGGTATAGTTCAGCTAAGAATTATCCATTTAAGAATACGACCGCCTCCGTGGTGTAGTGGTTAGAACGTCCACCCGGAGAGCGGAAGGTCGCGGGTTCAATCCCCGACCGCTTCATACCAAAAGACGTTAAAATATGGTACTTGTTGGTCCCTGCCTGGCGCTCGGCATTAATGGGTACAATAAGGACTGGTTGGCTCGGAGTCAGTATAATGTGTCTAGGTGGGGTATTCATGCTTCACTGCGGCATGGTATCTCAGTGGGCTAGCGCGCTATAAAACCAGCTTAAGTCTGGGCTAGTACAAGCAGTCGCACATACACACGCATGCACGTCGTCATATGAGCGAAATATTCTCAAGCACTACGTAAAACCCAATTTCACCTCACCTCATTTAAGAATACTGAAAATGATGCAAAGAGCCATGTTCAGCGGCATTATTTAGGTCGTAAACTGCAGTAACTACTCAAAACATATATGTACTAACAATGCAAGTTGTCATCTCCCAGGGGCTGACATCACTGACTACTTCAACTATGGCTTCAACGAGGACACCTGGCTGCAGTACTGTGAGAAACAGCGACGACTACGTCTGGAGAATGGAGTGCCCCTCCTTGGCAACAAGTCACAGGTAACATCACCATCACCATCCCCATTCCGTGATGCATTGTCTGATATGAGATGCTGTACTATTGCTGCATTTCTATTCAGAATGTGCTAGAGGGTAGGTTAGAATGAGCATGAATGTAAATTTGCCATGTGCAGCAATTTGCTCTGGATAGTTCCATCGCGATTGCGTAGAATGATGCTCATGATGTTGATCACTGGAATGCGTAGCTCAGGTTCGTTTTTTCTTGTTAAACAAACAAACAAATCCCTCCCTTGGGTAAGCCATACTTGTGGGATCTAATCCCTGTTGGAGTATGTTTCTAGGTTTGTCTTCACCGCTTGTGGGTTTCACAAATGTAAATGTCTGGGACCTGCTTCGCTTCACACTTTCCACCCTCATTATGCTGACTCAATGTATGTATGACTGGAATACTGTGAAAGACTGTTAAATACAATTCACTCAGAATCTGTGTCAAAGCTATAAAAAACATTCAGTTTTAATGCAACTTTACTGAAGAAGAAAGACAGTTCTTCTGAGAAACTGTGAACTTTGAGCTTCAGATTGATTTGTTTGTAAAAGGCTAAGGTAATTCACTGCTATAAATATTGTGATTAGTATTACAAACATGCAGGACCTAAGGACCCATTTTGATAAAGGCTGCAGGGTTGTTTTAGTACTGGGCTCATTTCCCTTTGACCATGTTGACTGAAACATTACTGATATGCTATATCAAAGGTATGTTAGATACCTTGCCTATGATGTCTAAATCCACAATCAGAGACAAATCTGAATCAACAAGCAGAGATGCAGAGATCATATCATTCAAGTGAATAAAACTTTGAATTCAACATATGAAATACTGCCTGGCTCTGCTTGTGTCGGTGCTGTCAGTATTTATTAGAGGTTGACTTATAGCTGTGCTGTATGTTTCAGTCCAGGGACAGTCACTCTCACCACTCTCACATTGGTTCTGGTCAACCCATCAGTCGTCTCGGGGACAAGGACTCTGGACAGACTGGATCCAGCATACGTAAGCTGCTCTTCATGATCTTTCTACCCACATACAGTGGGATCTGTCAAAACTAAATTCTGAATAATACACACTAAACTGAATAATCTGGATCAAGTTTACAGTCCTTAATTTATTACATTAATGTATAAAGTAAAGTCTGCTTTATCCAGACTTCTGTCACTTCTGGACTAAAATTGTGTAACAGATGTCCCAAATTTGAATTATGTTTTAACACATTTTACTCGGTGTTAGAGCTGCTTTGATTTACAATCTTCAGTGTATTATGGGATGGTTCCAAATAAGGTCATGCGAACTCATGTAACAGCACATGTGACCTTTGAAATTTGTCTCATTTGAAAGTGCTTTAATTGGTGTTTCTTGCCAATGATTCCTGGAGGTGAGATCTCATGGCACATAGAGGAGTTATAGTAATGTTATTGACATGATTCTTGCTAAAATCTCACTGATCGAAATCATCCTAAACTTTAGGTCCCCACAAATCCAGTTTGGACAGATAATTCCTGTGCACAATAAATCTCCTCATTATATGGACCGCCCTCGTGGGGTTGTGGTTTGAGTGTTCGCCCAGAGAGTGGAAGGTCACGGATTCGGTCCCCAGCCTCGTCATACCAAAAGATGTTAAAATATGGTACTTTTTGTTCCCTGCCTGGCGCTTGGCATTAATGGGTACAACAAGGACTGGTCGGCTCGGAGTCAGTATTATGTGTCTGAGTGGGGTATTCATGCTTAACTGCAGCATGGTATCTCAGTGAGCTAGCACTGTAAAACCAGATTAAGTCTGGGCTAGTACAAGCAGCCTCACATACACAGGCATGCACGTCGTCATATAAGCGAAATATTCTTGAGTACGATGTTAAACCCCATTTCACCTCCTCGTCATATGCCCCTCGTCATATGCCCCACAATGCCCTCATGCTCCTCCTCATACCTGCCCTTTCAACTGTATGTTAGAGTACCAGATATTGTAGATACTGCAACCACATACTTGGCCAGATTCCATATACTACTAAAAAACAGAAGTTCCAAAACAACACTCGATTCTTCCATGTTACTGTAGTTTTTCTGTTACAGCATGCCAGACTAACTGTAGAAGTATGAAAGGATCCAGTATTCTCTAACTTCATTGGGGTAGCATTCGAAGGATACACAGATATGGCAATACTGACTTTGGCATCAAACAGGGTTCACTATCTCCTTGTGATTGTGACAAGTTTTACCTGCCAAGTATGCCAAATTCATGCTTTCTGACAGCATTAATAACAAGGAATATTTTGTCATGTTAAGATCTTTATTCCTAATATATCTATGCTTCAGCTACTACAAGTTCAATAAGGAAAGCTCAGCCACCGCCAAATAGAAAATTGGGAGGTACCATTGATGTGATTGGCAGCACAGTCCATGATTCTCGACGCCCAGGTCAAGGGTCAACATCCAGTTCCATACCTGTCACAGGGGTCACTCCGGACTAGTAAGCTGCTGCTTTTCTCTACTATAAGTTGGCTTTAGAACCCTCAAGAGAGTAGAATAAGCAGTGATGAGACAACTCGCTGATACCGAGATTACATCCTCAGAAAATCCATCACTGAAAGTTGACTTGAATGTTACAGCTCTCTGGTAACTTGGATTAAAGCTCCACTGACTGTTTTGTTCAGCTGGTGACCAGCATTCTTCACATGTTGATTCGGATAAAACTAATGATGGTACAACTTATTTGAATTTAACTTAATAACAGTCAGTAATATCAGTAACCAATTAGACATTCCATTACATAAATGGTACATAAAGAGTGAGTGTGTGTGTAGTAATTGCTACCATTGCTTATTGTATGCCACAGTGGATATCATGGCTCTGGCACTTGCCTCGGTTTCTCGTAGGATGTAGCCCGAATGATGAATGAATAAGATGCACTCAATGGGCCTATACCAGTGACACAAAAGCTAAAGGATGGTCAAATGTTCCATGCAGAGACCAGATGGTGGTATTTGCCTGTAGCCTTTATAACTGAAGTGAGATCTGGAATCAGACATTATGCATTAATGTACTGCTTCAAGGAACAGGCTCTGTGACCTGGCTGATTGCATGTCAGTATACCCAGAAGATGGGGAATTGTTGAGTATGCTTTCAATCAGTAATTTCCCAGGCTTGTCAAAAGACACTCACTGAATCAATTGTATTTCAGTCGAAAGTTCCAGCCACCATCAGTACCTCCACCAGGGATGCCGCCCATGATGCCTGACTACTCCATGCCCCCACCAGGGATGCCCCCACCCCTCGGGCTGCCTCCACCAGGTATGTGAGGGGACAACTCTCCCAGCAGGACATGCACTTCATGGGTTATAGATATGACATTTCCATGGAAGTGCAATTGTGCCAGTGGATTTCTGCATGGTATCTGCAGTTGACATTCAAAGGCAGAGCATCACATCACCTCTTAGCCTTTCCACCCGACAAGTAAAATGCACAACTACAGAACAGATGAGTTTTGACAAAAGAACTTCATACATATGACACAGTGTTATATTGACTCTTATTTAAAGGCCTTGCATATCCTTTCTGTACACTTGTCAGACTTCAAGAAATCTGTGATCTTTTGAGGGTATTTTTACAAAATGTCAGTTGTGTCTTTGTTATTGTCTGGGATACATGTAACCCCATGCTGTCTACATTACAGGAGTGCCTCCACCACCAGGTGTTGCTGTACCTCTCCCGACACCATATGGCTCAGAGCAGTACGATCGTGAGTTGTCCAGAATATAGATTTATTGAAAAATGACCGAGAGCTGTATTGCTTCTTTTGAAAGTTTGACCCCAACCAGATTCAACAAATATATCCAAAATCCTAACTTATTTTTCTTTTCAAATTTTCATTATCAATATGGCTACTGACAAACTTATCTGGAATAAACAATTTCTAACACTGTACAAGTTGTAATCAACTATCTGTGAAACAAACACTAGCATTACAGCATGATTCATGGTGGTGTAGGACATCATGTAGCTTGCTGTTGTTTCTTCAGCCTTCAGCCACCCCCCTCCTGGTTTCAACTACGAGAGCAACACCTTCACTCCAAATTACACGGAAGGACATCACCAGAACTTCCAAAGGTAGGATATGTAGAGGATTTTATGTGTAGTTCCGTGTTGGTAATTCCAAGGTAGAATGCATCCCCAGACGTATAAAGGAGTATGACAAGGGGCCATATACACCATGAGTGACTGAAACTCGACCATGATATGACAGACCTGTGTGTCATTGTACATCCTTTTTCCTGAGTTCGTCAATTTAACAGACAAAAAGCAGAAAAATGTATGACATACATATACTGAGAGGGGGATATTGGTTTGAGCTCTGTTCGTCCATCCTTCCATCTGTCCGAGATGATGGGGACAGATTTCTAAAAAATCGATATACTATAGATACCTTGTGTCGGGACTGCAGATCCCGGCGGCTGTTAGCTCAGGTCGGCCTGATGTCTGTCGATGCCCTGTGGCGGCGTTAGTGTCGGCGAGCTGCCGATCACCTCGGCGAGGTCTCCGGTGCACCCGCCAGGGGCTGCGTTGTCAGGCCACTCCCATGTTGGGGATGGGGTTAGAACTCGAGCAGCCGACCGAGCACTGAAGCGTACATACATGTGTATGTATGGGTATTTATATGGCTGGCTATGGGCTATGTTTGACTATCACGGCTCAGTGCTGGCTTTTGGAGTACTTGGGGAAACCTGATTTATCAGGCTACTCCCTCACGTGTCACCGGGATGGGGGTTAGGTCTAGAACAGCTGAGCTTGACTCGTTCTCTGAACCCGTGGGTAGCGCCGACCCAGGCACTGGTAGAGCAGATTCCCGACTCCGGTAGTTCAGGTCTCGGCCTGATGTCTGCTCGGCAGTATTGACCTAGATGCCATCGAGTGTGCGGGTGTGAGGGAAACCAAATTTTGTTATGTGTTTTCAAGACATGAATGCCCTCATGGAGTTTGAAAACGGAAATCGTGTTACAATATGTTACAGAGTTATGGCCCTTGTCATGTGTTTCTCCACTTAGTGTACGTTATCACCAATGGGAACAGATTTTCTCAGTAACCGTTATAGATAAGGAAACCAAATGTGGTGTGTGTTTTCAGGACATGGATGTTGTGGTGGAGTTAAAAACAGGAACCAAATAGAAACAGAACACTGTGGTGGGGGATATTGAAAACTATTGATGACCATGTCTTCTTGTTTGGATGGTGTCTTGTTACCAGTTTGTGATGTCATGAACTATAGATGTTGACCTTGCCCTCAACAGTACAAGGTTGTAAGCTGGTTTGTTCTTCACAGGGTGACCCGTGAAGATCCGAGTTAGAATTGGTCTTCGGTAACCCATGCTTGTTGTAAGAGGCGACTAACTGGATCGGTTGGTCAGGCTCGCTGACTTGGTTGACACATGTCATCGTATCCCAGTTGCATAGATCAATGCTCATGCTGTTGATCACTGGATTGTCAGGTCCAGACTTGAGTATTTACAGACCACTGCCATATAGCTAGAATATTGCTGTGTGTGGCATAAAACAAAACTCACTTCACAGGGTTGTTCAAGTGGACTGTTACCGATACTTTGCCAGGATGTTGTTGAACCGGCAAGTACTGATGTACAGTGTCGTATATGTGTTGACCCATGTGTCTCAGTTACATTGTTGTATCTGACTTGCAGCTACGACGATCGATGGAAGTACAGTTCTGACCGACACACACGAGATCGGAGTCCAGACCAAGAGTTTGGAAGGTAAGGAAAGTAGGAAACCCGAAATATGCATCACATTTGCATGTCTTATCGTTATAAAACGGTTCAACTCCATAGGGGAAGAGAACATGTTTGAAATAGACAGGTTAAGAAAATGGCATATGCTTCCCTTTGACTTGCATGGCAAGTATTTTGGCCTAACAATATTTGAAAAATGTTACTAGATTGGGTGCCACATTTTGTGTAGAATATAAGCAGTTCTATGGATAGCGGAGGTATGACATTTGATGGAGTTATTACAGATTACGTTTTTATTTAAATTTTTGGGCTTTTCTCTAAATGGCTTGCTGTCATCTAATGATTACAGTGTATGAACTCATTGACTCCAGAAACGTCTCTCTTACATGGTGAACTGTTTATACATATGCCCAGGTTTTTGGCCTGCTGAAACTACAAACAGAAACAAGAAAATCATTATATGATCTTGAATAATTCACATGTGTCTGGATTCCATCTTTCAATCACTTTGACTAAATACCAGACTTTCTGTGGCAACAAAGTACCACCCACAGCAGGCAGGACTGTGACAAACAATGGTTTCACACTATATAATCTGTTCTTAGCAGGGACAATTATTGGCGAGACCGGGAACGTGACCGAGAGAGAGACCGCAGTGACAGGGATCGGGAACGGGATCGGGACCCTTATCGTGAAAGAGACAGGGGTAGGGACCGGGGAAAGAGAACGAGACAGAGACCGAGACAAAAGAAGGTCAAGGTCAACTGATAGAGATGATTCTCGTCATAGAGATGATAAGCACAGAACACGAAGGTAAGAATGAAACATTAACATAAATAGCTAACTGTATGAATGTCTGATCATGGAGTTACTATATAGATGGACTCAGTTCTCTCCTCAGATTGGGTAAGCATTGTGAGCAGTTAATGGTAGATTGCTATATTATCACATTCAAGTAAGCAGAATGTTTCCATAGTGCTTCTATAGCAGCAGTCCTGTTCATCTGTCCATGTTACCTTCTCTGCTTACAGAAAGCATCGAGATGATGAGGACGACCACCATCGATCCAAACACAGGAAGAGCAAGAAGCGAAGAGACAAGGATGAGGAAGGGGGAGACTCGGTCACTACAGCTGATGAAGGGGATAAAGGGGAGTGAACTCCTCTCACATCAACATCAGGGGAGGGAAATGGGGAGATTCTTCCAATACAACCATAGAGGAAGATAAAGGGGAGTTAACTCCTTGTCACATCAACATCAGGGGAGGGAAAGGGGTGGGGGGAATTCTGTACCTACAGCATATGAGGGAGATATAGAAGAGTGTACTGTCACATCAACATCAGGAGACGTAAAGGGGAAGATTATGTCGCAACAGCCAATGATTTTTTTTTAAAATTGAAGCTAACCTGCTTGTCAGGGAAACTATTTGGAAGGGAAGGGAGTTAATTCCTGTTTCAGATGATGTGGATCACATACATTGATGTTTTTTTCATTTGAGTATTGTAATTAAATGTAATAATGTCATCAGAAAGTTATGCAGTTTGAATCATCAGATATCACTACATTGCCAACAAACCAGTGAAAATCATCATGTCCAAAAGAAATTACAATAAAAACATGAAAACTTGAAGCGTTTTTGCATTTGTAAACACTTGACTTCTGCCGTTCATTGAAAGGCATGAAGCTACTTCATGATGCACACTGCATGATACAAGACTGTAAAACAGTCATAAGCAGGAAAGCTGAAAATTGGTCAACATTTCAAGATCTGTTCAGCTGAAAATATTTCTCAGACCTCGTTGTCACTCTAAATCCAGAGCATCAGTCATTTTATTGCCAATAAAGTAAGTATTAATCAGTTTTCCCATGTGATGTAAATGATTTGGCTTTGACACTGCTTGAACAGTATTGCAACTTTATCACAGCATTTCAGTATCATCATAAACAGTCTTTGGTCCCATGTTTGGTGTTGGGAAAACTGCTAATGATATGTCATGGCGTGATCTAGTCTGTCTCACAGTCCCTGAACCACATTATTTTCCCTACTGCCTAGCCCCCTCTGCAGCGCTAAAGCCCTAAATAAAGCAAGTCTAGATTTCCTCAGGTTCTGAATCTCGGGTCTCCCTTTCAATTTAAATGGGCTTGTTTGTTACTATCAAAATTATATACTTGTATATTCAGAGACTACTAGTAAGCGTTAGTCTAGGCGTAATCCTATGACATGAGATGTTACTCCTAATGTTGATCAGTTGAGAAGCAATTACTCACGATTTGTCAGAACAGTTTAGTGATTGACAGTTACCTGTTCTTTCATCCCAGGGATTGGCTTGAAGCAAGTAACACCACCTGGGTTTTGAGAATGCATGGAGCCATACTCATCAACATTATTGCTCACTGCAGACTCAATTTTATTGTGAACAGTATTGATTTAATCAACTAAAACACAAATGAAGTTGTATCAGCAGAAGCAATAATGCACATGAAGTGCACTTGGAGAAGTTAGGTATTCAGATTAGGGTCCCATTGCATGGCATATTTGCATGATGGACAATGTATGTCACCAATCCACATTGTCAAGAGTGTATTTGAGAGCGGTTACTAGTCCTGCCAGCTGACTTGGTGTGTGAAAGTTTTGGTGTTATGACACTTTCAAACTACTTCCATGACATCAAAAGAATCAGTTAAAATACTTTATCCAGCCTCATGTAAGAATGTCGAGTTTTGATTGGTTCACGTGACTGATAAAATACCATGTACACCCGTCACGATCCGCGAGCAGGGAGTACAAAAGTCGTATCATCCCGCAACGCCTCGGTTACCACACGAAGTGAGAAAAGTGTGCATCGCCAAGCCTTTAGTAACGTGCGCTGCATTGAGGTCAATTGATCAGCTGGTGTCAACATGACAGCAAGGAAACGTTTTGCCACAACTGAGAATGAGCCTCCGGCTGGGGGAATACAACCTTACACAGGACTGATAAAACCCTGTATATCCCTCGACGCGATGTGATAACTTATATAGTCTGCAGTGTAGATACTGAAAATCTAAATAGGTTTTTGTGTGACTGCATTTTTTTGCTTTTATGCCTCTTTCCATAGTAGGGGTGGTGGGGTAGCCTAGTTGTTAAAGCGTTCACGCTGAAGACCCAGGTTCGATTCCCCAAATGGGTACAATGTGTGAAGCCCATTTCTGATGTTCCCTTGTGATGTTGCTGGAATATTGCTAAAAGCGTCATGAAACCAAACTCACTCTTTCCACAGTACATCTCAGTAATGCCACATCATGTCAGCTAAGTGTGTATGGAAACCCAAGTGAAGCCAACAGTAGGTGCAGTATTAGTTTTGTCTTGGTGCACTGGAAAGCAAATATGGGTTCGCACAATGTACCGGTCCATAGAATCAAACCCAGGTCCTAGTATTTGGATGGAACACTTCAGCCATTCAGCTGCTCTTTCTAACATCACCTGGCAAGACAAACCATCAGCACCACTCCACTGTGACTATCATGTTTGCACTAACATGCAAACAAAGAATTAATCCGGTCTGCCGAATGTGTCATTTCAATTCTTGGAATCTTAATAAAAACACACACCATTGAAACCATTGCTAGATTTATTCTGTATACAGTTAAGAATGTTGTGCTTGAGGAAGTATATGACAACATAATCTTGAGCTGTTACATTGTTGGATTTTATATATTTTTCAATACATCAAAACTCTCAACTGTGAACATCTTTCTGGAAAATATAACTTGCTTATTTGCTGTTTCCAGACAATAGATATATGAAACCTTCCACTCAAAATTCAGACAACCAACATGAAACCTATCCCACAAGGAATTTATATCTTCAGATAAATGCACTTAAAACGAGAGACAAAAAGCAGCTGAAAACCAATCATGAATATGTTATTCCCATCTTCCTGATCTTTTATCATTTTCCTAACTTTCAATGGCAACACTTGACCATAGTCTTCTCAGGAAATTACATATACCCAATACTTTAGTTGGGTTTTTTCAACACCAATATGTTATCATATAATTCATTAACCATACTATTTTTGACAGAACTGGATCATGAACCACGGACAGTGCTAATGTTATTCTCACAAGAACACAAATAATTATTTTGTATAATGTATCTGGTAGCAGAAACATCATCAACCCTGCCTTGAGACCTTGAAAATAGGACAGGCTGTCTTGTCAAAATAATTCCTTCTCATTTTGTTCATGCATGAGTGGACAATATTACACCCATTGGCCTGTGAATTATACCGAGCTATGTCCAATCCTGTCCAGGGTCTCCTTTCACGAAGCAACCTTTACTAAGGTTAACCTTAACTCCCATTCTTTAACATTGCACTAAGATTACCTTAGTGACTTACGATCACCTTAGTGCTTTGTGAAAGGAGGCCCAGGTATGACTTCACACCATCAAAGAAGTCACCAAGACGGACAAGCAGATCCAGTCTGTCACCTCCAACAAGAAGCTCAAGTTGTTGGAGACCTATCATAAACCAGAATCCAAGTCATTAGGCAGGGGATATGTGAATTTTTTTTACATCACCAAAAGAAAATCTCATTCTCCTAAAAACTGATGGTGGGTCTCCTACTATTGTCCATGATGTCACTTGATCTTACGTGCTGACTCAGTTACTTAGAAATGTTCATTAAAAGTAGAACTTAAACCCAAAATATTTACAATACATATATGTTTCGACTTCAATCCATATAAAATTGTATCTATGCTTATCAACTCAATAATAAACACCTTGCAAAGTCCTTACCTCAATACTTTAAAATAATAAAACACTTAAACTCACTTTCTTCAGATTTCACCAAGGAGACTTGCTTTTCCTCTAATATGAATCACTGTTTTACACACATGTACCTACATTTTTGCAGAATAAAATACACAAATGGTTCAGAGGCAAAGACAGTTGAAAACAAATGAAAACATAAGGACATTTATTTTTCATCTGGGTTAAACTTGTGAGTATTCTTATTTCAGTTTTTGTGAAGAAATAAGATACTGCAATGGACAGGAATGTTTCAATGATTGGGCTCTGTCTGAATGTCCATTTTGGTGACTACTGTCTGAAGTCAGTCACACTCTTGTTACACTAAATGGAAATATGAAAAATATGAACACTATCAAAACACACAGTTCTAAGTAAATATGTAGTTGTACACTTTTGAACACGATGGTAAAGCATCATGTTACCATAGCTCACAGGCTGATTTGTAAGCTGCTGCACCCTCACTTACACAGCTAATCCCTGCATCATAGAACATGTCCTCAAAGTAGGAGCTAAGAAATGAAGACACAAAACATGTGCAAATAAAATGACATATTGAAATTTCAGTAACCACTACATGATACTAGAGACGTACTAAAGAGGATACAATATACAAGGCTTCCATACAAATCCACACACAACATGTCAGGCATGGGTTTTCATTCCTGATCAGGCCACACCGTTTTTATTAATTGGTTTACAGATCCACTGACTGTAATTTTTGCATACTGGAAATGTTTTTATCAATTTTGCCATTTTTCAAAATACTGCCGATAAATAGAATAAAAGAAATAATTTTTAAAATCTACTTTATTGAAATGAACTCTCTATTACTAATTTAGCATTGGTACAAAACAAAATTTTAAATATTGACAAATAAAATCGCCGAATTAACCTTACTAAGGGAAAATACTGGGGTTTTTTTTAAACCCTATTATAGTAGGAAATGAGTACACCTGAATGGGTGATCACATATTATTTATTTTAAAACAGCCTACTTGTTGTGAAAGCCACTCAGGGGAAAAATATCTGAAATAGCATTTATTGTTTTACCACCTGCTGACAGGAATTTTGCTGTAAAAAATCTGTAAACCAAGTAATAAAAAAGTGTGGCCTCATAATAAGCATGGGCACATGCATGTTGTTTTCGGTACAAACCGTATGCCCTGACTTTGGTTCTTATCATCCCTTTTTCATATCAGCCCCATGTATACACAAAGAACTTAGTTATGCACCACCTTACATATCTCACGACTGAATGAGCCCCGATCTTAACCTTTGGAGCATATCTGGGACATGATTGGTCGTCTTGTGCAACAAAGGGATCCTCATGTACAGAACCTCGCCCGATTGGAAGCATCTTTACACGAAGAACGGCACAGAATGCCCCTTCAGAGGATCAGGAGTCTGACCGGGGGTATGAGGAGGAGAGTGCTGGCTGTCATACAGTCACATGGAGGTTACACTCGGTATTGACCTTGAACAGTGTAAGACACACAAAATGACAATTTAAATGTTTACATTCACCAATAAATTCAACATTAAACATTCCAGGGCCATACTTGTAGAGACATGGTTTTGTATGAAAATCAGTGTTTTTTAAACTGAGCGATTATCATCATAAAATCAAACATAGATTCCTATCATGTTGTCGCTTTCTATACGTCAAGTCATACGGGTCAGAAAAACATGTTCTTCCATCGTGGTCACCACAAAATGTTTTATGAACGTGTTGAAAACCTATCATTGCAAAAATACAGGGGGTGCTTAATCAAGTTCTTTGTGTATGTTAATACAATGCTGTGTGATCTCTAGCTTACATGTCTGACAAGTGTTGCTCATGCCCACTAGATTTGTAATTCAAGAACACATGGAGGATAATTACAACAATTATTGCTACATTCACTGGATTCTTTAGCTGTTTGCAGTACCACCGTATTCATTGGAAAATTTACATGAAATTGAAAAAGTCTGTCATTTGAAAATTCTCGGAGATGATGTCAATAGGTTTTAACACTGACTTCAAGATACCCAACTTGACACTACCTTGGTACCAGATTCCTCACTGTGATCTGTGAAATATATTCGAGATGCAGAGTGCCAACTACGGTAACACAATGCTTCTTAAAACGAGTAATGTTGCACTGTGGGACTTAGAAAAGGGCTCTGATTCACCAAAATGTACAACCTTTCACGAGTCTTGGACAAAGAGAGAAGTGATTAGTACCACATCGGAGCCAGAGTTATGTCCCTTTCAACAACAGTTCCAACCATACTTTGCATCTCTAATGCTACTCGTTCTCATTACAGCATGATCTGACTTAATGGTTATGGGTGAAAGGAGTCCATGACTTGAATTCAGCTAGGCTAAGATGAGAAAGGTCAATCATATTGTTGAACACATTCACCCATATGCACAGCTTAACACTCTTGTGATAAAACATGTGGTCTTGAACACATGAACAACTCTTGAATATGACCACAATATCTGACAGGGGAATGAGCTAACCCGAGGCACTGCACCACCAATGTCATCCCATTTAAACACATATGTTGAAACTGAACACACAGATTAATTACAGGCTGAAAACAGTTCATATGGACACAAAATATTTTTCCAAATGGTGTGACTTAAAACTATGTCAGACCTGCACAAGACTAGTACTAGAACTGAGTCAGGTGACACAAGATCTGCACTAGACTAGTACTAGAACTGAGTCAGGTGACACAAGATCTGCACTAGACTAGTACTAGAAGTGAGTCAGGTGACACAAGATCTGCACTAGACTAGTACTAGAAGTGAGTCAGGTGACACAAGACCTGCACTAGACTAGTACTAGAACTGAGTCAGGTGACACAAGATCTGCACAAGACTAGTACTAGAACTGAGTCAGGTGACAAGACCTGCACTAGACTAGTACAAGAACTGAGTCAGGTGACACAAGACCTGCACTAGACTAGTACTAGAAGTGAGTCAGGTGACACAAGATCTGCACTAGACTAATACTAGAAGTGAGTCAGGTGACAAGACCTGCACTAGACTAGTACTAGAACTGAGTCAGGTGACACAAGATCTGCACTAGACTAGTACTAGAACTGAGTCAGGTGACACAAGATCTGCACTAGACTAGTACTAGAACTGAGTCAGGTGACACAAGACCTGCACTAGACTAGTACTAGAAGTGAGTCAGGTGACACAAGACCTGCACTAGACTAGTACTAGAAGTGAGTCAGGTGACAAGACCTGCACTAGACTAGTACTAGAACTGAGTCAGGTGACACAAGATCTGCACTAGACTAGTACTAGAAGTGAGTCAGGTGACACAAGATCTGCACTAGACTAGTACTAGAACTGAGTCAGGTGACACAAGATCTGCACTAGACTAGTACTAGAAGTGAGTCAGGTGACACAAGATCTGCACTAGACTAGACTAGTACTAGAAGTGAGTACTCAGGTGACACAAGATCTGCACTAGACTAGTACTAGAACTGAGTCAGGTGACACAAGATCTGCACTAGACTAGTACTAGAACTGAGTCAGGTGACACAAGATCTGCACTAGACTAGTACTAGAAGTGAGTCAGGTGACACAAGATCTGCACTAGACTAGTACTAGAAGTGAGTCAGGTGACACAAGATCTGCACTAGACTAGTACTAGAAGTGAGTCAGGTGACACAAGATCTGCACAAGACTAGTACTAGAACTGAGTCAGGTGACACAAGATCTGCACAACATTAGTACTAGAACTGAGTCAGGTGACACAAGATCTGCCCAACACTAGTACTAGAACTGAGTCAGGTGACACAAGATCTGCACTAGACTAGTACTAGAACTGAGTCAGGTGACACAAGATCTGCACAAGACTAGTTCTAGAACTGAGTCAGGTGACACAAGATCTGCACTAGACCAATACCTGAGTAGTACTAGATCTGAGCCAAAAGAAAGATCTGCGTAAAACCAGCACCAGATTATTACTAGATCTGTGCCAGGCAACACAAGATCTTTAACTAATAACACAAGATGTGCACTAGATCAGCACCAGATTAGTACTAGATCTAAACCTAATAACACAAGATCTGCACTAGATCCGCACCAGACCTGAGAAATATTACACCAGAACTACATTAGATCTGAGCCAGATTAGCACTAGATCTGCACCAAATTGACTTGGTCTGTACTAGATGAACACCAGCATTTTCAGGTTTCCTTTGGCTGTGCCTGTAATGCTGATCAATACAAGATCAAGAAGACTCTACATTTACATCAGCTGCCAATATGTATGGTCATTTCCAGTAGATCCATCAAACTGCCACTCAAACACTCAGATCTGTAAAGGTACAGTCACTACCTGTGGTGAAGGTTGCTCTTATACCAATCAAAAATCATTACCCCAAACAGTTCAGGTAAAGATGTGCTCTGATTAAGTCTTAACCACAGCCTCAACTGTTACAAAGTACACTTTTGTATCAAGTCCATCAGGTATTGGGAAAGATTTGCTGTAAGTATATGTACAGCCTCACCAAGTATTAGGAGAGGCATGTTCCTGTATCAGTCTCGAAGCTTCATCCTGTGTTAAGACAGATGTGGTTTCAGTCTAACAGTGCAGCATCATTGTCATCATTATCATCAATATCATTCAGAGCACAAAACAAGTCAATGTCCAGCATATTTTCATCTGAACATTTCATATCTGTATTTTCACTTGTACTTTCCTTGTTTTCATTTTCAGCGCTGTCATTTTGTCCATTTGAATCATCCCCATTTTCCTGTCCCTCTCTGCTGTTATCCCCTTCTTCATCTTTCTGCTTATCCTCACATTTCTCAACGTCATCCTCCTTTGTATTCTCTTCATCACCCTTCACCTCTGATGTACTCATGCTTTCCTCTGGAACGTCAGGTGTCTCCCCACTTTCTCCTGGCTCACCATTACCTTCTTTACTACGTCCTACACTCTCGGCTGGTTTTTCTTCACTCGCGTTTACCCCAGCTTCACCTTCCTTACTACTGTCTTCACTCTCACCTGGGGCATCCCCACTCTCACCTGCCTCAGCTTCACCATCATTACTGTCTACACTCTCACCTGGGGCGTCCCCACTACCCCCTGCCTCAGTTTCCCCTTTGTTACTGCTGTTGACACTGTCAGCTGGTTTGTCATCACTGTTCCCTCCGTCTTCTCCTTTCTCACTATCAGCATCTCCTTTGCCTTCACTTTCCCCTTTCTCTTCACCATTTTCCTTTCCATCAGCATCAACACCATCTCCACCTTCTGCCTCACTGTTGTCACCTGACTTGGCCGCTTCCTTCTCCTTATCTCTTTCTTTTCCATCACCTCCGTCCTCAGCTTCCTTCTCCTCATTGTCATCTTTACTGCCTTCTGTCTCCATTTCTTCCTCATTATTGTCACTTTTGGAATCATCATCTTTGGATTCTGTTTCCTTTGCAGCATCCTCTTCATCACCATCCTCTTTCGCTTCTGTCTTGATATCTATTTCGCCACTAGTGCCCTCAGCTTCTGAAGTCATCGATTCATCCACATCAATTGCATCCTCCAGCTTTTGTTTCTTTGAACTGACTACATCTCCAACCATAACCTCTTCATCACTGTCATCACTGTCTATCTCAATCACTTCTGACGCTACAGGGTCTGGGATACTTGAACTGGGGACAGGGAATTTCTTGGATAGAGGTCCTGGTTTTTTCCGCTTGGCAACTGAGGTAGGTTGATGGACAACACTAGCTGGTATCCGGTGTATGGGTATCCTGATTGGTTTGAGCTTGAAGCCCATGTCTATGAGAGAGTGTCCCATTACATATTTCACTGAAAGTTTGCTTCGCACATTGAACAATGTCCAGTCCTCCACTAAGGACTTCTGGGTTGTTCTTAAAGATTTCCCCATCTTGGTTGTGGCCATCATGTATTGACCTGAAAATGAAACAATGTCCTAAATTAATACTGTAAAATTAGATTTTCAACTGATCTTTACTTCGTGTGACCAGTAAGGCTGTAACGATTCACTCGCATATTCGGTGAATCAAAAAGTAGCCCTTCATGAATTCAATTCGTTATTTGTGGTCACTAGAACCGAATATTAACGAATATGTACAATTTTTTTTAAGGGAGCATGTTTTACTTGAACCCTTGTGTACTTTTGGAAAGTGAGATATGCAAGGATTGAACATGTACTAGCATTGCAGTAGCGCAAGTCATGTTAGTTTGCCAAGCCACACATGGTACTGTCGACTATAACTATTACATTACAAATTTGAGTGTCATGAGATCACTGGTTATTGCTGTGACAAATCAAAACTGTCAACATGGGCATTCCATATTGTACATCAATCACATAACTACAATATTGTATTCGTGAATAATTATTCGTATTCGTTACCCAATATTCATGACACATATCATATTCGCCACATAGTGTATTCGTTGCAGCCCTAGTGACCAGTGATTTATCTCCCTTTCAACACTAATGGTTACATTCCTCTAGAGAGTACTTCTGGTTTCAAGGAAGTCTGCTGTTTGCTAGTATCCTCACATTCCTAATTGTGTATGAAAAGCCTTGAGATGAGATTCTACAGAGCTTTAGAGGGCTCAGCACTTCTGGTTGCCTTTTAAATCTACTGCACACAGCAAGCTCAAAACTGTTCTGGCTGTAGGGCAGCAGATTGTAAACATTCAAATCTAGACCCCACAATCCAATGATATATATCATAAGCAATGATCCACACTGTCAGGGTACAATGACCTGCAACCAAGTAAACAAGCATAACCATCTGATCCATTTAGTTGTGTTTTTAAAGATTGTTTTGTTCTAAAAAAGAATCCCTACTAGATGTAGTGCATGCTGCATGCTGTACATTGTACAGAACTGGCCTGAATGTAGAATAAATGCATCCACTTTCTCCTGTGACTCTACCATGTCTCTTTACTATTCTGAGTCAAGTAAAATTGGAAATTTTAATATAAATTGTATATTTATATACTTATCATATCTCACGACTTGCACCTCTCTCTCTTGCTTTGATTTTTAGTGGAACGACTGTAAACTTTTTTCCATAGGCCTCCTTGTCCATTCGCCCGTGCACTCCATGCTGCTCTCCTTAATTAGCTTCCTAGTTCCTAATAAAGCTTGCAGCATGCTCCACTAATTGCCCACGTGACTACCTTGAATGATCATTCTCATCTTGGAGCCAACGTTCTAATCTGAGTAGTGGGAAAGCCGGGCGGGCATCCATCGATTGAGATAGGATAAGTATATAAATATACAATTTATATTAAAATTTCCAAATTTTTAAACTTATCCTATCTCACGACTTGCACTTATCCCACGGTTGGACGGCGGGCCGCAGATTACCCTTCTGTCTGGACAGTGAGAACAGCTGGTCTTGGAGCTGTGTGGACTGATGACAACCGTAGATAGCGATGTACAAGGGAGGCCTGTTACGCATGCACGTAACTCCTATGCTTGTAGTGGGTTCTCTGGAACCCCTTGGCTTACTAAGCACAACGACTCCCAGGGAGATGGGTGCTCCCAAGTGATGTGGTGTTCGGACGCAACCTTGTACAAGACAAGGGATGCAACTCGGCAAGTAAGCCTCGCCTCGCCACGATTTACAAGGTACCCCCGTAATTGAAGTCTTGCGACTAGACTCGGGCCAGCCCCTACTTCAGGAAGGCCCCCCAGACAACAACCGAGGCGGGTGAAAGAGAAACACAACTCGGCATCTCCAAGGTTTAATGTTCAGTTCCAGGCAGCATCAAATTGACCCTCACTCCTTTGCCTAAGCTTAGTCAAAGGATGTGCCCGGCAACTTTGGAGGCAGAACGCAACGAAATCCACTGGAATTCGTAGTGTCACACTTCACTGACGTAATTGCTCCGTGGAGTAGATCAGTAAGCGTGAATGTCGAACACCTCTGCATCGTCATACTGATTGTGCCTCAGGTCCATAGGGCCACGCTAGGTGGCCGTATTCCGATGCCTTGGTATGGAGGCCAAGTGAAGTAGTTCTTAAACCCATATAATAAGAACAAAAGGTTGAGATCCAGTTCAACTTTTATTCAGTATATACAAGGAAGTAGTAACGCGAATGCGGAAGCGTCCCTCATCTGCGCTGTTGGGCCGATGTAAGCTGCTGAGCCAGTACAGAGGTCCGAACTGGTGTAGTCCCTTGACATCCGTGACAGACAGGTCTCGCAGGTAATGTGAAGAGAAGACTGTATCAGAACGCCAGAAGCAACCTTCCATGATAGCGGTCAAGGAGCAGTTGCTATGGAGGGCCATCGTCAAGGCTAGTGCACAAGTCTCATGAGGAAGTGGCTGGAGGAGGCAACCCTGCAAAGGTGTAGGCTCGCAGGATCGTGGCACGCATCCAGAAGGCCAATGTGGTCCGGGAAACCTCAGTTCTTGAAGCGTTTGACAAGGGTATGAAGAGGCACTTTCGTAGCCGTCGACGATCCTTGGAGGCAGCAAGGTAAACGTGTAGAGCCCTAACAGGGCAGAGTGTCAAATCTTCATTATCATCAGGCCCAAGAATGGTGGACAACGGGGGAATGGTAAACATCCGGTCCGGTTGCCCTGGCAGTTAGTTTTTCGCAATGAAGTCCCAGTGGAGACCCAGGAAAGCCTTGCCATGTTTCTTCCGCTCGAACCGCACCCGATTGACATCAAGCGCATGCAGTTCAGATGTACGAGCAGCGGTATCCAAAGCTACCAGGAAGAATGTCTTGAATGTCACTTGTTCGAAGTCCTTGTCTTCTAAAGGTTCATAATCTGTAGAAATCATATGATGACGGGACAGATCCCAGGCCGGAGGTCTGAAGTTCCTGGACTGGTCAGAGAGTCTATAGGAGCGAAGTAGACTCTGCAACTCAGCAACAGTGGAAATCTTCGTGCCCGTGGTGGTAGCCAAAACCGAGTTAATGGTGGCGAAGTAGGTAGCTAACGTAGTACCCTTGAGTTTCTTAGTAGTGTGGAGATGCTGGAGAAACTCAGCAATGACCTGAGCCTAGGTGGAAGTGGGAGATGCAATTCCCCTAAGCTTGCAATAGTCTTCAAACGTCTTCCACTTGTTGTCGTACAAGGAACGGGTCGAAGTACGATGCGCTGAAGTGATAGCTGTGGCTACTCAGCGAGAGTAGCCCTGAGCTATGAGAGACCTCTGAAGATGCGCCAAACGTGTAGATTGAGGGTCTGAGGTGACCCGTGGCGCAGTTCCGAGTGAGGGTGAAGAAGTAGGTCGTCCCGGTTGGGAAGCGGTACTGGGTTTGGCTCTGCCAGGCTTCTTAGGCTGACGAACCAACTTCTTGCTGGCCAGAAGGGTGCGACCAAAAGCAGTAGTATGTTGCTGGTGGCCAATAGTTTCTGTATTAATTTTGGTAGCAGAGCTGGAGGGGGGAACGCGTAGGCATTGAGACCCTCCCATGATATTGCCAACGCGTCGAGGACCCACGCCAAGGAGTCTGGGATTGGTGATACGAACTTTGGAAGTTGGTTTTTGAACCTTGTGGCGAACAGATCTATTTGAGGCCGTGATAACGGGTAGATCATCAACTGAAAGATCTGCGGCAGTAACTTCCACTCTGTCGGGGACGGTCGGTTGGATCGGGACAAGGCATCGGCGATCACATTTTTTACCCCGGGAATTTGTCTGGCTCTGGCTACGATGTTGAGTGAGTCGATGAGATGGAAGAACCTGATCGCCCATTGTATCAGAGCCTGTCGAGCCTAGATGATTTATATACCAAACCACTGTCGAATTGTCTGATTGGATCAACAGACTGGTTGATTGAAGCTCTGTTGCCCAATGTGAGATGGCTTGAATTTCCGCCTTGAATTCCAGCTCGTTTATATGAAGTACCCGTTCGTCGGATGACCACAGCCCGGGCCACTTGGTGGTCGAGGAAGTGAGCTCCCCAACCCATGAGGGATGCATTGACGGTGATGAGTAGGTGATGAGTCAGTGCAAAAGGCATCATAGAGACTCCGGCGCAAATATTCCGTTCGTCGAGCCACCATTGAAGGACTGGACGAAGCGGTTCTGGAAGGCAAATTAGTTCCTTGGGGTTGTCGGCCTGAAAGTACGGGCGTAGAAATCGCTGTATCGGCCGAAGTTGGAGCTGGCCTCTGTACGTTAAGGCTTGAGCTGATGTCAGAAGGCCCAGTAGCTCCTGCCACTGTCGTAAGGTTCTCGCCTGAGACAGTGCTGGAGGAATGCATTGCTGAATCTTTACCCACCTGTTGTGAGGTACGAACATCATCCCCTGACGAGTGTTGAACAGTGCTCCGATGAATTGGAGTTTCTGAGTCGGTATTAGTTCCGATTTCGATATGTTCAACAGCCACCCTAACTGTCTGAGCAGCGTGGTGGTGAACTGTAGCTGGCGAAGCAATACGATCGGATCCTGTTGAGCCTATGTAGCTTTTGAAGGTGATCCCTTTAAAGTGGAGGAAGCTCGTTATGGGCTTGGTAATTCGGGTAAAAAGCCACAGGGCCGTGGAAATTCCAAATGGTAGGACTTTCCTTTGGTAGTGATTCCCGTTGAACACGAAGCGAAGGTACTTCCGGTGTTTTGGATGTATCGGAACGTGAAGATCTAGGCTGATGAGGAAGTCTCCCTTCAAGATGGTGCGTAAAAGGTTGATCGACACCATCCTGAAGTGAGGCGGTGGAAGCAGGAATCGGGCATTGAACAACTTCATATTGAAGATGAGCCGGAGTTTGTAGGAATTTTTCTTTGGAACCAAGAAGATGGGGGAGTAGAATCCTTGAGTGACGGGCGATGGACCTAGGAGCTCTATCGCGAGTTTGTCTAATAGCATACCTATTGTGGATTGCAGAGTCTGAAGCTGGTCCACAGGATATGAGCGATGTGCAGGATGCGACGTCAGAGGTGGACTGCCAATAATGGGTAGCTGATAGCTGTGAAGTAGCAGGTTGGTGACGTACGGATCTTTGAGGATGGTCCAATTCGGGGCGAAGATCTGCAATCTCCCGCCTACCAGACTGTTGCAAATCGGAACGACTGGGGGCGACGTGAGGAACCACCACAGCCAGATCTGTTTCCTCTGCCACGGCCTTGACTGGATGCGCCACGAAAAAGATTGCGTAAATCCGGATTGGTAGGGGTGAACTGTGCAGTATGACATTGTTTTAATGAGTCCTGGAGCTGTGACTTCTGTATCTTTAACAGTTCAATCGAGACTTGAAAGTGGGTTTCTTTATCAACTTTATTAGATACTTCTTGGATGCTACCATTGAAGAGGGAGTCAGTAAACCAAGGCTGGCGAAACAGTTCTGTTTTAAATCGCTCCTCCCATGAAGAGATGTTAAGGGGTCCAGGTCGGTGAACAGCAAGAGTGTAGCCCCAAAAAAGAGACAACTGATCCAGGATAATTTGGAACTGGTCCAGAGCTAAAGTCATGCATCCTCGGATGTAAGCGTCTTGATCAGAGTAAGCATGCTCCAGAGCAGTGTTAACAGTGTCGACTGCTGCACTCACGCAACTAATAGATGGCAGCGTCTTTCTCACGGCTGAATCCATGTCAGCCAACTCTCGATTCTCAATAAGGTAGGGCGAAGCAGCTTGTTTGCCATACAGGGTTCCAATATCCTCATCAACTGTTGGAGCCATAGAGATTTTTGTTAGGCCGTGGACATGAGAGGTAGAAGGATTATATCTGGGAGCAGAGAATCCGTCCTTAATTCGTTTCAGGCTCTTGAAACCATTATTTAGTGTACTGGATAAATTCAGAGTACAAGGTCGAGGTGGTAGGGTGATGGTAGATCAATCCCGGTGCCTAAGAGTATAAGAGTGATCCAGGTCATCTGCTGAAGTACTCAAGGGAAGTTGGAGCTTCTCAACAATCCAAAGGAGTACCTGAGGTGTCTCAACTGCTGCAAAGCTACCCCCAGGGGTAGATAACTCAGAGTGAGCTGGAGATGCAGGCATGGCTATTTGGACTGGATCAATCTCAGGAGGTGGACCAGATGAAGAGACAGGAGCTACCAAAGCTGGATGGGCTGGAGTAGAAGGCTGTATTTGGTTCCAGGCTGAGGTTATGGCCCTGATCATCATATTTGGATCTGGAGTCGCTGTAGGAGTGGGATTGTTATCAGGTTCCCATGACTCAGCGGTGATCCTAGAGTGAGTCGAAGGCTTCTCAGAGCGTGTAGACGGAACACCATAAGAGACTGTAGGCCTATTAGTGGTATCAGAGCAATGATCACCCGAACTTCTGTCAGAGGAACTGTATCGAGATCTCGATATGGTAAGTACCTAAGTAGGTTCGGTAAGCCGGTGATCTGGATTCCCTAGTATGGCTAGGTGATCCGGTATATGAAGAACTAGTCCGGGTCACTGTAGTTCTAGTTGGTGATCTGGCTTGATTTGGTGATCTGGATCGGTCTGGCGATCTACTACGATGTTGTGATCTGGATCGGTTAGGTGACCTAGATCGGTCCGGTGATCTGATTTGAGGTTGTGATCTGGATCCATTCGGTGATCTGGATCGGTCCAGTGATCTGATTCGAAAAGTTGTGATCTGGATCGGTCCGATGATCTACTTCGATGTTGTGATCTGGATCGGTTCGGTGATCTGGATCGGCTAGGTGATCTGGATCTGTCCGGTGATCTGATTCGAAGTTGTGATCTGGACCCGTTTGGTGATCTGGATTGATCAGGTGATGTGGATCGTAGTTGTGATCTGGATCATGACTGAGATCTGGATTGATCCAGTGATCTTGATCTGCACGGTGATCTAGATTGGGCTTGTGATGGTGATCTGGATTGTGAAGGTGATCTAGATCGTTGTGGTGATCTAGAATGATGTGGTGATGAAACCTGAAGTGTTCATTCATGATGAACGACCCCCGGCAACGCTGTTGTAGCCAGCTCCATCCGGTTCAATGAACTGTGGGGTAACAGTTGGCTGGTTGAACGCGGTTGGCCAGGCTCCAAACAAACTGAGACAGTCGAGAGGATATGTACCGATGATCTGGATGATGATAGTGTCGATCTAAGGTCCCCTGGTAGTGTAGATGGGACAGGCAACGAAGAATTATCGATCACAACCACCCGCGAGTGATCTGAGGCTATGGAAGGTGATTGATGCGTACATTATAGGTGCCGAACGTCCTCAGATAAGTAAGAATCTGATGAAGCGTCCATAAAATCCTCTTGAACCACAGACGTCGCTCTCTTGCGTGAAGGTACGATTTTCTGTCGCTGTAACTTGAAACGCTTTGCGGGAGTGGGATCAGATTCTGTTGATTTCCTGTCCCTATCGGCGATTCTCTGGGAGCAAACACGAAGGTAGGCCTTAAAATCCTCATCTTTTAGTGAATTACACTTGCCACATCGTTTGTTCCAGTTCCATTGTCCAATACAGTCACTGCAAGACAAGTGAAAGTCGAGGGACGAATAATTTGTCTTGCATTGAGCACAAACTTTCCTTTTCCTTGACTGATTATCAGTTTTCCCCATGATGTTAGGGTGAAATAATGTCCCTAATATACAGCACGTCCACACAGTTGTGCGACAAGAAAGAGAATGATCATTCAAGGTAGTCACGTGGGCAATTAGTGGAGCATGCTGCAAGCTTTATTAGGAACTAGGAAGCTAATTAAGGAGAGCAGCATGGAGTGCACGGGCGAATGGACAAGGAGGCCTATGGAAAAGAGTTTACAGTAGTTCCAAAAAAAGTCGAAGCAAGAGAGAGAGGTGCAAGTCGTGAGATAGGATAAGTTTAAAATTTTGTGTTTAGTCAAGTAAGATCACCTAACAACATGCCATATGATAAAACAAATGTACAAATAAAGACACTAAGAAAAGGAGTGAAAAGGAGTTTTCATACGATACAATACATGAACATATTATTTCTGTATCTATACAACATGAAACACTTGCTAAAATATTTTGTTTTGCTTAATGACAGTTCCCATCACATGGTTTGCCAGTCAAATATCCCTAAATTAATCGCAGTCAGAGTTTCAAGATATATTTCTACCAGTGAGTGAGTGAGTTTTAGTTTTATGACGCTTTTAGCAATATTCCAGCAATATGACGGCAGGGGACACCAGAAATGGGCTTCACACATTGTACCCAAGTGGTGAATCTAACCAGGGTCTTTAGCATGACAAGTGAACGCTTTAACCGCTAGGATACCCCACCCCCTACTACTACCAGAAACAGAGCATCAACATGTGTCTGCAGCTACATTTTTCTGAGGAACTTGCTCTGGAATATGCATCATACTGGGACATTGCTGTTTTGTTACAACCCTGACTAAAGGCCAAGTTCAAGCTAAAGTACTCAACGGTTCATGGCACATAGCTGAGAAACCCTGTTACACCATGTATGCAACAAATTATCTTAAAATGTCCTCCATTTATCGTGTATCCAACATGAAACAAAGCTCTACAAAACCTCCTTACCTTGTGTGACGTTGGAGCTGTCCTTCTTGTTGGCCTGGCTGTACTCCATGTCGTGTGTGACCGGCCTCTTGTACCCAGTCACCTTGCTGTTCCAGCACTCAACCTCCAGCACACCGATTCTAGATGCCTTACCCTTCTCGATTCGGTCTTTCTGAATGCAGATAATCAAAACATGTACTGTGAAAGTAACACTCCAATACTGCTGAGGAAAGTTGCAAATCATATAAACACTACAGACAACGAGTGACAAAACTGTTTGTTGGTCAGAAAGATTTTACAACATATTTTTCAACTTAACGTGTTTCCAATCATAGTAACTATATAATCTATTCATGAAAAAACTTGATGCATTTTTGCTAGGTATAAGTTCCTGTAATCCCCTAATAATAACTAACAAAGCATAACATACTCCAGTAATCATTCCAGTCCTTCAGTATTGTACATGAAACACACTACTTACCTCATTCTTCGGGAAGCGGGGCAGTGAAAATAAGAACTCAGTTATCTGCGATCCGTCGTAAAAGCCCTCAGATATACTGCAAAGATAACACAGACACATTATTTGATACACTCTCCAGCATTTTGTTGTTTCTTTAGTTCCAAACAGGCAAACACAGTCAAATGCCACTTGGCCTTGTTTACACTTCAATCTTAAGTTACAAGTTAACATGTTTCGAGTTGAAAGTTATATCTGTTTCAAGTAAGCAATATAATTTTGAACATCTATTGAACACTTAAGGCCTAAAGGATGTTTGGATAATGTTGCTACGCAACCTCGTGCAATGCTAGTTTAGTTTCTACTTGTTTCAACATCAAAATTTATCTTCAAACTTGATGTTTCCGCTTTCCACATAGATTGACACTTACCACTGTTTTCCTGGATGAACAGCAACTTGTGAGGCCTTTTGCCCATCTACATAGATCTTGTAGTAACTGTATGGAGTGTTAGATTTGGCAGCTACACGGATCTGATAAGGAGTCACTGGCCAGCTCTGTAAAAGAACAACATGTACAGACAATACTAAATACTAATTCGAATAAATGTGAAACAATTCAAAATCTTGTACTTTTATCTTTCAATAAGTGTGTGTCACTTGAACTGACTTTGCATCTTTTCTTTTTGTAAGATTTGTTAAATTATTGAAATAGCAAACATATGTCAAGTACATCTTCCACTCTTCCAAACTCCTACCAGCATGCCGAATAGAAAACTAGTGTTACATTTTAACATTGACCTCATACCCTGTTCTCTTTGTTAGCCTTCTTTTCAATACATATCCTGAAACCTATATACCTCTCTAAAATAACCCTATGACTCTGACTCTCCTCATTGCCCTTTCCTGATTCCCAACACCCCACACCTAAAATACATGTTCATCTCCCTGGAACCTCTGTAAGTCTCACCCTTTCATATGTCAGTTACCTTAATCCTCTCTAGTTTTTCCCTTGAACATGTCAGTTCCCCTGCATCCCCACCTCTTCATCACCTGAACCTCTGTCTTCTCATTTACAATGAATACATCTGTTCCCCTGCATCTCTGACCACTTACTCACCTGAGCCTCTGTCTTCTTCACCCCCCTCCCATCCCACAATGAACACGTCTGTTCCCCTGCATCTCTGACCACTTACTCACCTCAGCCTCTGTCCACTTCACCCCCCTCCCATCCCACAATGAACATGTATGTTCCCTTACATCCTGACCTCTTCCTCACCTGAGCATCTGTCTTCTCCCCCAACCATATATCTCTACTCTCCAAAATAACCCCATGATTCCACCTTCTCTAAGACATTGAACATGTCTGTTCCCTTACAATCCTGATCCCTTCCTCAACTAAACCTCAACTCTCCATGAACCTCCTGTTCCACATTGAACATGTCTGTTCCCCTACAATCCTGATCCCTTCCTCAACTGAACCTCAAATCTCCATGAACCTCCTGTTCCACATTGAACATGTCTGTTCCCCTGCTTCCCGACCCCTTCCTCACCTGAGCCTCTGTCTCTCCCTGAACTTCTTCTTCCAAATGGACGTTATAGCTGACAGGAGTAAAGAGATTGCTCTCCACAAAACATGTTCCATCTTTTGAATATTCAGGCAGTTCTACCCCACCCACCAGAATGGACATGGTAAAATCTTTGTTGGACGGCATCCTGGTTGTGGACTCTACAACTGGACTGAAAAGCAGACGAATGAAACATTAGTACCACTGGAAGAAAGCACTACATACCACCACTAGCCTGGTTGTTCAAAACAGGGATTGGGAAAGGCAGGGGCCATGGGCCATTTTGCACATTAGAATAAAAATGGCCCATTAAACTTTTGAAGTTTACTATTGATACAAGGGCAGTGGCCCATTCTTAATTCAGAAAATGGCTAATAATCTTGAAAATGACCCATTGTCAAAGTTCTTCTATCCCAATCCCTGTCAAAATACTACAAATTTACAAAGACCACACCGGAAGTAGTGTTTCCACCCCAATTGTTTCTTTAATTTTAAAAAACAACAGTATATGCTGCAGAGTAGATGTACATGCAGGGTTTAACCTCGACTCACAAAAATGGGGGTCGTAGGGCCCCTAATTATTAGTTTTCGGGTTCCTGCAGGCAATGTAAGGGTCCTGTGTAGAGAACTGTATGTTTTTATAATTTCATTAGAGCCTGGAATGAATCATTAATAATCTGGACTGATGGGTGAAATGACGCACATATCTGCTCTGAAAGAAACAACCAAACACTTAGCAAAGTCATAGATGTGTTGTGGGTACAGTGAATAATATTGTGTGTCCCTCTGGATGTAGTGAAGTTTTGATCTGCGTCCATTCTCTACATTTGTACATACTGGATGCACATTTGCGCATGGCATAAAACCCTGACATGATTAATGGTGTCCTTCTCTGGACCCCTCCAAACAATACATGTCTAAAACGGTGATACAGTTAAGGCTGAAACCACTTCTAACAATACTTTAGACATCACAGTTGCATTAATTTATGCCAGACATGTTTTCATAATGTGGAAGGACATCCTAATAAACATGTCATAATTTGAAAAGACTTTACTACTCTGGAACATACAAGTGTGTGGCCATCTGTAACAATAGTATGAAAACATGAAACAATGTCACTTATTTTAGTACGCTTAACTGATGATATCCACTGATTTAATAGAGAAAAATATCATTACAACATTTCATGATTTATGAACATTTTTATAGCACAGTTTTCTATGTCATCATCAACCTGAGAAACACTTAAAGGACATATTGGATGACAACCAGTGACATTTAAGGGATGTATGGCTCATTCTGTAAATTACTAAATATCATCTATCTCTTGCTTCAGTGGTATAAATGTTGGAACAAAAGGACTTTATACTCAGTGGAAGTACAGACATACAATCTTGGCCATCTTGGCCATGTACTGGACATTGAAAAAATATTCTTTTGTTCAGTTTCATAATTTTTTATCATGAATTTTGTGAAAATAGCTTTTAAAGCAAAGCCTGTAATGGAAGTCACATGTGACTGGCTAATGTTGACTTCTACTTAGCCATTTCATTGGTGAATCAAAGTTCACTAATGTCATTCTGACCTGCATCCAAATGGAATCCTCAGATTTAGAGATTGGTTTAGATATTTCAGTATTATGTCACTGGATTCTTATGGCACATAGGCCAATGTAGCTCTAAGCACTAGTCACCTAGGACTATAACAAAAATCAGATTGGACTAACTACTAATATTTTATTCCAAATTAAACCAGGGAACAATAATATCTTATTTTAGCATGTTTAATGCTGGGGACACATCCATAGCCATGTGTGTAGGTAACATATCAAGCCCTATCCTAGTTTTGAAATTGTAGTTAAATCAAGGTAATACATAACTATGAATCCCTCACAGCAGTAAGAGTGGTGTATGTTCAACATAACACTCAATCCGTGTTTTACATGACACAGAAATGTACGTCCAGGAAGCACAAACATAGACATGGATGCAGAAAAAAATGGATATTTCTTCCTGAGAGACAAACAGTTATATTCACTATACTAAATTTTCAACAAGAAACAAAGTTCCTGTTACAAAAACAAGCATTACATCGACAAGTGCACTTAACTACATTATTTCAATACTTACAAGACCCTCAAAATTCCTATAAGGACCCTTGAAAATTGGGGGTACTTTGGACTTATTTTTGTAGGCCAAGGTAAAACTATGTTCAATGTTGTTTGCATCAGCTACCAAGATAGCAGACGAGTACATTGGTACAAACTTGAGTGTGGCCTAATTAGGGTTTGTCACTGATAATGTAATGAGCCTACTGCCAGGTTAAGGTACGATAATAACATGCAGTTTGTGATACTCATGTAGGCCTACCTTTGTTGATGTTCTGCTTACGTAGAGCAATATTAGGTCTACATGGGTTCAGACTAAAATCTGTATAACACTAATTTTAATAGTAAAGATGCTCATTATGTGTATAAATGTCTCTTGGTATATCATAATTTTGCCAAATACCATACCAGAATACAGACGTAAATACCACGAAATTGCACCACAAATCGCCAAAAACTGGAGAAAGCGCGAAAGTGCCAGGTTTTACAAGGAACGGACAAAATAGTTAAATGTCGTACTCGTCTAATAATTTAGTCCTTACTCATCACTGCTGTAAGCGAAAACATAATGTCCGCTTACGAAGAAACGTGTCCACGACAATGATAATTATCAAATATTGGACTATTTCTGAACTTCTTATCTAGATTTAGCCGTACACAATAACTGTGCACAAACCGGAAGTGAGCATAATTTTGCTTCAAACGACTGTCTTAAATAACCGAGGTGATTTATGAGACTTAATTAGTGTGTATAAACGCAAAAGAACTTACTTTAATTTGTAAGGTTTACCACATGAAGTATAAAAGAGCTTTACGCGTGAAATTGCCCTTCTTTTTGCAGCTCATCATGCAGAAGTCGTTCACAGAAACAGCGAGAGTTACCTCCCTTGACCGTGCATATTCCCGCCATGTCGCACCAATTTTCCCATTGTAAAAGCAGATCGGTTCATTGGCAGTAGTGAGGCCTCTTTGCAGTCACACTAATAATATTTTAGACAACCTTTTCGACATTGATCAGGGAATGTTTCACTTAAATATGTAATTTTGTACAATTTTCATGTTTTACTAAGATCTAATAATTGTATCACGCAGGTTAATTGTTTAATTAGTATAAAATTAAAACATAGCAATATAATAATATCAACAATAATATCAAAATTAAAAACGTATGATATTTTAAAAAATATTGAGGATGAAGATTATTTTATCCAAGCGTAACGTTTCCTATTAAATGTATATATAACAATTATCTGCTGGCGTATAAGCAATAAATATTATGAGATGAGTCCAGATAATTCTTCTTGCAAAATTGTTTTTAAGGCTGTGCTGACTAAAACATCGTTCTATCTTTCAATGCGTTTTCCATTAAATAATGTTATATACATGCAATTTAATGTAATCAGACAGTTCCACCCATTGGGCATTTTCAGCGTAATTGGAATTTAACTGGCATTGATTCAATAACACACACTTACTTTCGAAGCTTGCAAGCCATCAGAAGACTCTTCAATATATTTATTATCGGTTGAATAAATTTCCACAGTCCCATCTCACTGGGGCTCCTTTAGAATTTTAATTTGTTATATATATAACGATTTGGTATTGTTTTTTCAACTCTCATCAACAAACAGAGCTCGGAAATTATTCATACCACCTAGACGGGTTTATTTTATTACTAGTATATGTTTTAATGGTTTCTAACAGTTCGCTAAAAAAACACACATACACACACACATACAAAACCAAAATTCCAATTACTACAGCATCTCGACTCTTCGACTGCATATTGTGCTTCCCATGCTAACTTATGGATCGGAAATCTGGGGGGTATCATACTTACAGAATGTTTGGAGCAATTCTAACAAAATACTTCAAAAGGATTGTAAAATTATCAAACTCAGCTTGTAACGCCGCTGTTCTCGGAGACTGTGGACGACATTCTATATGTTTCTATATAGACACAACACAAATAATGAAATGTATCACATATTGGAGCAAATAAATTATAATGGACAACGGAAGATTACCCAAACAGACTTATCTAATGCTATATCTATTTATTCTTTCTAAACGTATTTCATGGGTATCATTCTTAAAGGGCATTTTGCATAATTAGGATTGGGGTTATGGATAACTCAAGATTTGGAAGGTGTGAAAACGTCCCATGAGAAGTCAAACAACGCATCCAGGATATCGACATGCAACAGTGGCGCAATAACATTGCTGAAACTTCAAGACTAAATTCATACGTCAACTTCAAGTCATTATCAAATGTGGAATCCTATCTCATCAATATACGCCAAGCTTTAAGTCGTTTTAGATGTGGTAATCATGATTTAATGGTAGAAGTAGGACGTAGAACTGGTATTGACATTGCCTGATGTAGATTCTGTACTCACTGTTAATGTAATGGATTAGATTACATGTATACTGAAATGGAATTTCACTTTTTATTAGTATGTACAGCATTTACTGATTTACGGAAAAGGTATATTAAATGTAATTATACTTTAAATCCATCACAGGAATCTTTTACGAACTTAATGAACTCAAATTGTCAATCAACTATTTTAAATCTTGGGAAATACATATATATATATTGCTTTTAAACTTTATGGTACACAACATAAATAATTGTAACAGTAGTAAAAAGTTGTATTTATTAAAATGCTTTGTACATAAATATCAGTATGCATATCTATTCAATTTTGGGACACGTGTTTGTATGATGCTTTTGTAAAACATATGTTTGTTTATTTTACAACTGTATTGTCCTGTGGGCCTATTGCCTCATTGACAGAAATAAACTATATATAAGGCAGTTCGTTATCCTGCATACATACACGAACACACACACGTACGCACGCACGTACGCGTACCTGCCGCAATCCAAAGATTATCTTCCCTGAATATTGAAATGTTTGGCTCGATCCTTCCACAGAATGAAAACTGTGTGTCTCGGAGGTAAAACCAGCAAGAAAGCATAAATCTCTGACAAAAATCCCCGACAGGTGAAGATATTGTGATGGCCATCACGAAGATTTAAATAATACTCCTGCATTTTAATTGCAAAATTCATAAGTTATAAAAGCTTGTAAATGATTAGGCATCATGACATATCTGTTAGGTATTTCCCATCTGTATTTTTTGATAGTTTATGGCAGTGCAGAAATTGTTATTATAATTATCGTGTAATTAGTTTTGCAGCTATATACGAGTATTATTGGCAACCTCGTTTTCACGTAATTCAGTGTTTTGAAATCTGTTTTGGTAAGAAATCTAGCAAAAAGATCGTAGCATGTTGTTTTGAGCATTATAACATGTATTGCATTCGTAAAACATCATAAGCTAGTTACCATCACATTACGCTATTTGTTTAGAACACAGTTGTACTTTGTAAGAGTCAATGTCAACAACGTCTCCTGTCAGAACGATCTTTTGTTTACCTTTTCAAGAGTTTTGAATTGACCGTAACTTTTGACATTTCCTTGCTCTAAGCGTCTAGTTACGAAAACTAACTATCCGATATGGATTAATCTTACCTTGTCCTTCGACAAACTGATCATAATCCCTGACACTCGTTAATTATCCATTCTTTGGTGAATTTGTGATCAGGGCCGAGCTACATGTTTTGGTGACGCCCGCCATTTTAACTTTGTGACAGCCAGTCTATTTCGCAACGGGGTTACCGCTACTTTTGACTCAGCTTAGTGTTTTGCATTGTAAAAGTTTATGTAATCTTGTGAATTACGTAGGAGGAACCCAGAATTGTACTTGATGATGTATCAGGTCATGTTTCAAAGCCGATGTTAATTCTGACAACGGGAACTATGTGATTCTCACTGCTGTATTCATACGCGATGTTCAGCATCATTATTTATGAACGTGTTTTTCATAAATATGACTTCCAGTGCCACTGTCTAATTGCATAAGGGGCTGAGTCATGTTTTTAAACATCTTATGTGTCAGATAAACTCCTATTGCCTCCTGACATCTGTAATCTTCCTCTTTGAATTGTCCATCATAATTCCCAGCCGATGCTACTTGTTGATATTACGTCCCCTCAGCAGGCAGCAAGGACGTAGCAAGACGTAGAGAGACGCAATTGTTGATCTTATGATATTGGAAGGCAATTAATGAATTAATTGCACATAATTAATTGGTTGGTAAAAATAGTCATTTTCCTACCTGATTACCTCCTGAGATAATTCGCCTTCCTCTTTATTTCAGTGGTTTCATGTTGTGAAAGTAGATCCCTCAAAAAGAATAAGGACGTAACGGGACGTAATATCTCGTAATTTGATTGGTCTAGAACTGACATGTGACCATTTTCTCACACCTATAATACGAGGTGAGACCCATGTTGGGTCATTCTGACTTTGGCAGTCTACAGGTCAGTTACAAACCAAGGGCAGATAATTCAGCCCAAAAGTTCCCTTTGTCCTTACATAATTATAATAGCTGATGCTATAGATAGACTGCACTTTTCGAACACAGACGCAAATTAATATCTTAGTAACTATCAAGTTATTCAGATTACCCAGATAATTAAGCCATCACTATATCTATATACTACTAGTAACAGTAAAGTCAAAGGTCATACTTATATTGCCCTAACACTGGTCCATGCACATAAACCTTAAGCTTGAGAGGGATCTACTTATTAGAAATAGCATTGTGCTGAAGTACATTTATACCCATGAATAAAAGCTATTTATTCATTGAAAGAAGTGTTTGACTCTTCCTGAAAACAAGACTGACAAGGTTTTAATTGAAGTGTGAGTCCCGGCCGCCACAAACTGGTGTCAGAAGTGGGATGTTTATATATTTAAACATCCTTGATACAATGAACCAAAGGACTCACAGTAAGGACCAGTGACAAGATGGCTACAGTATCTCCAGACGCTGAAGTTTCTTTTGACAAATGTCAGCAAACTGCAACACAAGAGGGACAAGGGGACATCTCTTTTGAGGAGGAGATACTTGATGAAGTTATTGAAGAGGCTGAATCAATTGATGAAGAGCCAAGCAATTCCAGTGGAGACATAAGGGTACGCCCCAGAAGTGATATAACACCAAGAAGGCCAATGGCCATACCAAGAAGAAGGGCACCCTTCACAATTAGACCAGATTTCTATGATGGGACAACAGACTGGGAAGAGTACCTGTCCCATTTCAAGAATTGTGCAGAACTAGGTGACTGGCCCATGGACCAGCGACTCTTAGTGCTTGCTGCCAGCCTGAAGGGGGTTGCCAGGACGTTCTACATGGGACTGGCACCACATCAGAAGAGGTCACTGCATATGCTTGTTAGGAATCTCAATCACCGGTTCGGGAGTGAGAGACAACAGAGCTTATGGCTTTCAAGACTAGAAGTCAGACAGAGGCAGACTGCAGAATCAGTTGCAGCTCTGGCCGATGACCTGAGACAGATGACCCAAAGGGCATATGTAAACTTGGATAGCAGAGCACAGGAAGCTATTGCCCTTAATCAGCTGTATAAAACAGTTTCACCAGAGCTCAAGTTTCATTGCATTGATAGAGGATGCAGGACACTTTCAGAAGCCGTGGAAGTCATTGAAAGGTTTGAAGCATTAGTTGGTGACCACCGAGAAAAGAAGAGACAAGTCAGGGCAGTAGGGGATAGAAATCAAGGAGAGCTTGCTGCTATGCAACATGGAAGCACACCAAAGCCAAGAGAAGATCTTCAGGGTGATAGTGTACTGAACAAGATCATGGCGAGGTTAGAGAAGTTGGAAAAAAGGGTAACAACTTCAGATATGAAAGAGAGAAATGATCGACCTCAAAGTCAACGGACTTGTTTCATCTGTAAATCAAGGGAACACTTTATGAAAGACTGCCCGATATACAAAAGA